GCGGCTAAAGCTACATACCTAGCGTAACACTGATTACATTCGCTGTACGCTAGTTACCCACAACAACAAGATAAAACATGTAAATGAGACAGACTTGGAGTTGTTGGAAGGTTTTTCTCTTCTGATGGAGCTAGGCTGAGTTGGTAAACAGTTTCCCCTTGCTTCCAGTCTTTGTGCTAAGCTATGGTAAGCTAACGTGCACTGGATAAACAGAGATGAAACTGATATTCATCTGCAACATCTGACTCCAGAGAAAACTTTGCAACATCAAACCGTTTTTAACTTTTAGATATAAAAATATTGATAAAACAGTAGAAAGTAACGAGAGGAAGAATTGGATTACAGCACTCATGCTACCACCGTCACATTCATTGAACACTGTCTAACTCTACAGCTGAAGCTACTCAATCTAACCCCTATTTTCATGCAAACTCACTACTTCTCTAAAGCTAACATGCAACACTGAGGTGTCTACAGTAGCTAACACTTTTCAGGAAAATGCTAAGGATGGATTGATATAAAGGTTTCTGATAACACTGAGGAAAATTCTCTGATTTAATCAACGTTAAACAAATAATCTGACTTTTTCATTTCCTTAAATTCTAGCAGAACCTCACGTATGAAGTTGAACGTTATCAAGTCTAAATTTACATGAGATCTTCGAATGAAACCTGACAATTAAATTCTTGCATTTCTGTTGTGTCTTTAACAACAAACATGTCATTTTATGCAAAAGGAAAAACAAGAATTCAAGTTTTTTCTTCAGAAATGTTGCTGTCAAAAATGAGTGATGAAATCCGTGAACAAGAAACAAAGCATATAGTACTTCTACTACTATATAGATATGTATTGTTCCTGTACAAAATTTATGCTCACAAATATTTGCATTTTTGCATCAAAATAATCTAAAATAAAATTAACTCTGTGCCGTGAACAGGAACTTCTGCATTAAAAAATCAAAAACAAATATGGTACAACAAAAAAAAGCACGTGTTTGAGGAACTGTCAACATTAACAAGAACATTACAAACACTTGCAGTGTGTGCTTGATCAATGCATTGATGCTGATAAGTGATCACCAATACTTATCCATATATAATATCAGCTGGTAGATATCAGTAAACCAATAATCAGTCCATCCCCATTATTTTTGCAAACACTTGAGAAAAGCTCTGAACTACAGTCTTATCAGCTGTAAGAAAAATAACTCTCTTTAAAACAAGCACCAACAGGAACTATTCTATGTACAATACAGTACAAACTATTACCAAGTGTTCATAAAAATAAAGATACAGAGGTGTAGTGTTTGTACAGTAACGTTCAGTAACGCATGCAGCTTCTAGGAAGATCGTGTTTTTACTCACATGCAAAAAAGAAAGAAAAAAGACAAATATTAAAGAGGCTGATTAACGGTTATTCAGTCAGCATCCAAACCTGCTACCAAAACTCATTTTAACATTTTGTACTAATATTCACATTTTACAACATGTTACGGGATGACACTGGTGTGTATCAGATCAAGTTCTGCAAGTCACAAATAAAAGGTAAACTCACATCATTGACATGAAATAGCGATGACAACAACTGTCAGTTCAGTGGAAGCCCAGATACACCACACAAAGAAAAATTAAATAGTCAAAGTTAGGCTATATTTCAATTTACTTAATTAAAATTAATTTTGATGAATATTGTTTTGACATATCGTTTTTTCATTTTTGTCATCCCTCTTAAATCTTGGCAGAAATGGGCTTCCATATGTTTCAAAATAAACCATGTACATCTCGAGCCGCCTCTTTAACCAAACTACAAAACACCAAACTGGTGTGACAATATTTACAGACTTTATGTGTTTGTCTTTAAATAATAATTATGTCTGTCATGACAAACTATACAAAGGTATTAATGACACATGCTATTGATCATTTAGAACAACAGGACTGGTTTTAAATTTAATCAATATCTGTAAGTACCACATTAATCGTCAAATACTCAATAAATGATTCTAATGTGATTTGATTCAGTTTGTCACATTTTAGCCAGGGAGGGGTTAGTTATTTCTGTCATATACTGTAAATAAACTGGAATGTCTGTCACTTTGAAGCTAGTCATTATTTGGTGAAGGTCACATGCATTATCATCACAAATCAAGACAAACAGTTTCAACAGTTTAACCTAAATACCTGATTCCAACCTAAACAGGATCACAGTCATTTAAACATGTGATTATATTTTCTATGATTATTTGGTCACCACTTAAATGTAAACAATAAATCCTCTATTAGAATCTATTTAAAGACTTTAACTTGTCTATGTGCAAAACAAGAGGAAGATTCATGATTCCCAATAAAAAAATTTAAAGCTACAAAATCTGAACAAAAGAAAATGTTTGTTCTGAACTGTCAGAAAAAGAAGGAAGATCTGAGACATCTGTGAGAGATCAACTTAAATGTAAACGTAGGAGGGAATACAGATTAGTTTCTCTTCAGGATTCGAGATTTGATTGCTACTGCATCTCCACAGCCTAATTCAGACAGGATTGGTCCTCTAAATAAAGCCTATCAAATGGTTTTATGACTCTATCGTTCAGGCGAAGGTGTCCCACAGGGCTCGACACTTGGGCCTCTTCAATTCGCTATTTACATCAGTGATATCTGAAATTAAATCACCTTATAAATAAACCAGATACAGTTTGTACATCTTACATGGAGGTGTTAGCGGTCGATCTTTCTTTAGCTAGGCTAGCAGGTTTCCTGTCTTCCAGTTTTAATCCTAAACTAGTCTAAACGTGTTCTGGCAAATTACTAACTGTCTACAAACAAATAACCTCAGATATGTTAGCTATCCTGCCAAACATTATCTTTAACTACCATATCAGCAACTAGCTACAAAACAGCAATCATAATGTCTAATATGCTAACTGTCTGTAGCTACTACAACATCAGTGGGTTACAAAGAGCTAGCATAAAACATATGTCAACTGTATCTACCACAACATTAACTATCTATAAATACTTCTGCGCTGGCTAGCAGTTTCCTCTTGGTTTTCAAAATTTATGCTAAGCTAGGCTAAACACATCCAGTTATAAATTGGTAAGGTAAAAACAGCTACTATAACATTACCTAGCTACGTACAGCTAACATAATGTCAGAAATGTTAAAAAATATGCATGTACCATAGCATCAATCTGCTAAAAACAGCTAACATTACAACACCATGTATTTTCCCCCTGGTTTCAGTCTATGTGCTAAGCTAAGCTAAACTAAGCTAAGCATGTCTTGGTATATTACCAGTTGCAAATAACTACCACAACACTGCATATGCTAACTATAAATACTTCTGCACTTGCTAGCAGTTTCCTCCTGCTTCCAAACTTTAAGCTAAGCTAGGCTAAACACATCCAGTAGTAATTATAGTAATTAACTACTTCAATCTGCGGGTGTTGAAGGTTAACGGTCGTCATTATGGGGGAGCAGGGAAAATATTTGATATTGATCCTGTCTGAATGGTCTGTATAAGAGCTGAATTATTATTAATTTTCTTTTTTTTTTTTTTAAATTTTCATCACTTCTCTGACACATGTTCATCCTTCATATCTTAATAAAGTGTCATCTGCATAATAAGATATAATTTTCACATTTTTAGTAGAAGTAGCATTAACACTACTTTTATTATGACATACACTCCTCTACAGAAGAAACATCTGTCCCCAAAATCATATAAACTAACTGTTGATACCATGTTGTGCAAAAACTGTGGAAATTTAAAGCAGCTCTGTCACAATCTTAGCTTAATACTGGCACAGTGAAATCAGTCGATACAAATAATTTCTCTCAGAAATAATTATCTCCAACAAATATCATCCTAAGGTTTTAAAAAAAAGTGCTTTGTTACTTCTGTAGATATGCACTCTACTTTACTTACTATAAACATACAAATACAGACATTTTTAATTGATCTATAAAGGGAAATGTAGGTAAAATGAAGCGGATTGAGCTAATTTTTTTCATAAATCTCATGCTACAAAATAAACCATTTAAATAAACTACGTTAACTTTTGGACAAACACATGACAAGATAATATACAGCATTAAGCAGGACTGAAGCAGAGTCATAATGTATTAAAAACACTAAACAATCCATTTTTATCTGCTACCATTTCTACGTCATCAGTGTAACTCAGCGAGTGCAAAATATTCTTTTAGTCCAGTGTGGAAAAATAAGGCAAAAAGTTTTGGATCTGAAACAATTTGCTGATTGACAAAAAACCTGATTGGATTGATCGGATTGATTGGATTGATTGGATTGATTGGATTGATTGATATATTCAAAATTTTATCTGAATAATATCTTTATAAATGGAATGCCTTTTAGCTTTTGGACTTCTTGTGTCATTGTGTTTTACAAACCAAAATACTAATTGATAAATAATAAAATTAAAACTAATTGTTAATAATTGTTAGCTCTGAAAGATTTCATATTTTGTCAATAAATTATTTAAATTCTCAAACACCTGCAGTCATGACACAGGAGTATGATTCAGGTTTTCATTCATAAAAAAAAAAACTAAACATTTTCATGTTCATAGTCTCATAGACTGACATGTCTTATATTATTAAAATCTAATGATTGTGTGATATGAAATAAATATTAATACTACGATCCCACTGTGAATCAACAGCTCAGTCCGTCTTCCTCGCAAACTTCAAATGAACAAACAGCAGCATTTAGCAGCTGCAGAGTCGCATAAACTAGCAGCTGGTAAAAGAGAGTGAACATTGGACTGAGATTCATCATTTCAGGATGATTATGTTGTTTCTGCATTAACGATCAGACCTTTGTTTGCTGATGTATAAAGGCAGTTTTGGAGTCGACTTCCTGCCCTCTCCCTAAATAGTGCTTTTATTTTGTCAGCTCCAACATATCAACTATTTGTTTAGTGGAAGTTTAAATATAAAAACTACCTCATGTTCACTGAAATAAAATACAAATATATAATTTTTTGAATATTTAACAATTAAAATCAATTTGGTTTAATAAGAACAAAACAAATTCGCAACATTACATTCTGTATTTTTACCGTTCCTCGTTCTCTGATTTCCAGCAGCAACTTTTTTTGGCTTTATCCACATTTTTCATTTTCTATCAGTATTGAGATCTGTCCTTGAAACTAGAATTTACTGTGAACACTGGAGAGTGGATGGATGTATTTCAGTATGAATCAAAGGTATTTATACTCTGATTTTCTGTTTGATGCATCGAGATTTCAGGAGCAAATGCTGAATTTTTTACTGCACTGTGTCGATTTTACAACTTCAGCTACTCGTTATTTAGCAAGTTCAAATTTTACATACAAAACGTGATAAATAAAATAAAATGCATAGATACAGCTCCATGTTGTCCAACTATACCATTAAAATGTTGAATTAATGCATCAATATTAATCCAATACTATGATATATATATATATATATATATATATTGATATAACGGTCTGAAAGGGGCTGGTTTGTATTTCGAGTACTTTTGCGTTTGATATTTTGAGTAGTGATTGTTGACAATATTTCTTTACTCACAATGAAGTAAAATTTTGAATACTGGTGGTGGTCAACATGTTTATGGAAATAAAGGTTAAAATCACTTTATAATGACACAGTACATCTAGATATTTTCAGACTCTTGAGTCATGATGGTGGATGTTTGAAAACCAAGTGAAATCATCTGCTGACCGACAGTAAGAGCTTCAGAGTCTTTATGGACGACTTTGTAAATGAAACGATCTTACTGCTTTTCCCTCCAGCACTCACTGACGTCTGTGGCTTTCAGGTCAAACCGCCATGGCAGCGCCGTCCCACTAAACAGAGCGATGCGATAAGCAGACATCAGGACAGCAACATGTATGAGGGCAGCACTGGATGGGTGACAGCAATCCCACAATCCCAGAGTTCCCGACGAGGTCACTCATTGCAAGTCCTCAGGCCCTGGTGAAGCTGGGGACGACCAGAACTACGATGGCAGCCACAGCGACCGCCGCCACTGCCAGGCTCAAGCCTTCAGAGTCCGTCTGCAGAGAGAGGGAATAACACAGGGGCGAGGTTACAGCGAGTCCGGAGTTTTAGAGCAAACACCAACTGAGAGCAGCAGCAGCTCGTATGTATCCAGACCAGACCTGGTTCATTCTCTTCAAAACACATTTCAAGGTAGCCCACAATCATTGGTGTCAATTGTCCTCTGGGGGGCGCTGCAGTAAGTAAAAATATGTTTTCGCTAATACCCATTGACATGTTTCTAGTGACACCGTCAACGGTCGAGTCATGGAAACTTGTCACATCATCCTAATTGATGCAGCGGCCATTTTGGATTTTATTGGAAAGTGTTTTTCCTGCTGTTTTTTGGACAAACTTTATCTAATATTTACCAGAGTCGGCCCCGATGACCTTCAGACCGAGACTCACAAAACTGGTTTGTTGTTGTTTTGGTTTTCACAAACATTCGACCATAACAGCCAATAGAAATTGGCGGCAAAGGTGCCAATCAAAAAATCAAGTCATATCTTAGAAAATCTGCTTAAAACTATGCCCTTGACATAATGACCTCATGTTTCCATGGCAACTGTGGCCTGCTGGGCTGTTTGGCCCCCACATTGCAGCTTGCAGCTATATTTTATAGTTATAGTTTATAGATGTAACCACATGCAACAAGTGTTAACTAATGTTCCTGTCTACAAGAGACAAGAAAGAAAAGACTTTAAAACCTTCTATGGTCTCTCTGAGGGAACTGAATTTACTACAAATATCCTGCACTATTACAAACTCCTCATATTTATTTATGGCAGTAACGAGCTTCCATACACATGTAAGTACTATAAATGCAGTGGTGTCGTGTGTGAGAGATTTTAGCAGTGACTAAAACACTGTCATGTTAAAAGTAACTCTGTAAGCAGATCCCTCCACTCCCTAAGCTTCACTAACGATTCACACACACACACACACACACACACACACACACACTCACACACACAAATGCACACAGCCTGTATTCAGAAACTGAGCCTTAAAACCAGCCCTGAGCTAAATGAACGTACTCGAAGACACAAGCCATAAAATCCCTGCTGGACGACAGGAAGTACAAACTTGAAGTATTTAATTTTTCCAGGATGAAATCCAGCTGGAACTAAAACTATCTGCACGAGGTGAATGACTGAAGAACTGATCCATGGTGTCTTTGTTTCACCCTGTGGAGCTTTGGACTAGTGTTAACTTCCTTAATGAAAACTATGACTAAATGTATTTGAGACAAGAAATTTGAGGAAGTTGATCGTGTTTTTTTAAACAGTGACATAATCCAAATGTTCTTGCCTGATTGGCTGCGCTGCACACTTCTTTTCCTGACCTTAATTATCTTCCCAGTGACTTTGGACACCAGCACCGTGAACGCACCGCCAACAGCATCAGCCTGGACCGAGATACTGTATGCACTTGAACGCCTCGACTGTAATAGCTCGGACGACATCATGAAAAGAACATGACGGCAACACAGCATGTCAGCAGATGGATTCAAATATGACGCAGCCGAGAGAAAGAGTGTGTTGTGTTGTCGGAGAGAATCTGCAGCGACAAAGTCACTGGGAAAAAAACCCCTCCGAGTTCTCCACACAGAAACTAAAGGTGATGCTGAGATGATAAATATCATTGCATTACCACATTAAGGCATCTACTAAAACCAGAAGTGTAACGTTTACACAAAATATGGTCAATAATTTGTGGTGGAAGTTTTACCTCACAGATAACAGACTCTACTGTACATCAGGGCAGTTATCCTGGATAAACCTGAGTTTTCAGTCACTCTCGGAGGCTAAAAGAAGCAGAGTGTCTGGTAGAGTGAGAAGGGCTTGGCCATACCTGGTCCCTCTAGGACGCCAGCTCCTCCCACCAGCACCAAATCAAGGCCACTATAACAATCATTCCTATGAAGGGGATGGAGAGAACAGGGGGCTCAGACGGACGAGTGCAGTTCTGGGAAGAAGACAAAAGGTAGGAGTGTTGAGGGAGATGGAGAGAGGAGTGTGGTGAGAGGAAATAAAAAGAATCAGAACAAGAACAAAGTCAGAGGGTGAGAGGGACGACGGCGAGTGTGGAGCGAGGAAAAACAAAATAATAGAAAAAGAAAAGACAAACATCGATAGACAAGCATCAAAAACCATCAAATTTACAGAGAATTTGATAGAAGTTTATTTTGAACAAAGATTAAAACATGACGATGAAGGGAGGGAGGAAACAGAAAGAGCAGGCAATTAGAGAACGACATCAAAGATGGTTAAAGACAAGATGGAGTCAGCAGTTCATCACCGCAAAGTCAAAACATCTTCATCTTGTCCTTTAATGATCTCTGTCAACAAGCTGGAGTGTTGCTTTCACAGACGACTTGGGGGAATCAGCAACACTGCAGCGTGTGTTTAAACCGCCAGGTACTCCACAACCACGGAGTACAAAGATGTAAGTGAGTGATATGATGAAGAGGAGCAGAGGTGGGACCGAGTCACTGATTCACAAATCACCAAGTCAACAAAAGTCAAGTCCCAGGAGTCTCAGAGAAGCAACATTTGACAGTCAAGTACCATGTAGACGTCCCACGTCAAATACTTAGTCCAAAGTCAAGACAAATGAGTCAAGACAAGGAAGTCCCAGGTCCAAACAGGTAACTCCTTGTAGTTAGCGCCTTGTACTCCTTTAGTTTCAAGTCTCATGTCATGTCTCAAGGGTCAAGCCCAACTTTAATCTCAAGTTTCAAATAAATACTACACCTGGAAAGTCCCATGCCGAGTCTACCTCAAGTCCCTAGTCAGAATAGATGAGTCCCAAGTCAAGCCTCAAGTCCCAGGTCATGACTAGCAAGTTTGTTCAAGTCTCAAGTCAAGAACCAAGTCCAGAGTCAGGACAGACGAGTTTTGACATTCAAGTCTCAATTGTTGACACCCAAGGTTCAAGTCAAGAGGTAAACCTCACTTCTAGTCGAACATAGACAGGCAAGTTGCAAATTTAGTTTTTAGTTTTAACCCTCGAGTTCCAAGTGATAGATAAGCCTCAAGCCTTGAAACTCCAGTAACAAGTCTAGTCTCAAGATCCAAGTCTGGACTTCCAAACAACTCAAGTCTCAACTCAAAAAGGTCCAACTTCAAGTGAAGTCACAGAGAAGCAATCCTCAAGTCCCAAATCACGTCCCAGGTTAAAGACTGACAACTGTCCAGTCATACGTCTAGGAACAAGTCTTGACAGTAAAGTTCACAATCCAGTACCAAACCATCTGTCAAATCACACAAGAAAAATGTTGTTTTAAGTCCAATGGCAAGTTCCACGTCACTTCTGAGTCAGGTCTCAAGTCAAAAAAAGGCAAGTCCCAAGTTTAGGGCCAAGCCTGAGCCTCCAGTCCAGATCAGTTTGAGACGGAGACTCTGCTTTAGGACTGGGGCCTGCATCTCATTGTTTAGGTCTCTGGTCATTGGCGTTGAAGTAGAGGTAAGTCTTTCTTGGCTTTGACCAGTGGGGTCTTTGAGTTTGTGACTCTGGTCCACACCTCTGGGTGTGGTGAGGTCGGACAAATAGAATCCAAATCTGTAGGTTTGGATTGAACCGTCTTTAAGATGTTTGACACGTGATTTGTTATCAGCCAATCAGATTCACCCTGGCTGTCTGTATGCTCGTTGTCTTGTGGTTTTTCTTTAATAGTTGAATAAAGCCTGTGATTCCTGAGGGAGTACGTTCACGTAGAAACAGACAGATGACGAAAACAAACTGCGCAGCAGCGACGGATGTTAAGAAGAAGCTCACAACAAAAGGCTCAGAAACCGGCTACATGAGCAGAGCTGCGATGAGGCATCCAGAGAGCGTTGGCCAAGCTTTAACCGATCGAATGCACACAGCAAAGACAGACAGACTTCATGGAAAGAGCATGGATCTGAAGAGTATCATCATTCAGTTTGTTGTGTCAGGACAGATTCTCCATGTATAGATTGTGTTGCACTTACCTTGAATTTTAAATTATTTTACACAATTACCTATTTTATCTGCACTGATACCCAGCGCACTCATGTACCAACGTCACAGTGAAATGTAGGAATCAAATAAGTGCGAATACAAAGGAAGAAGACCCCACTCCCAGAAGCAACCGAGTCGTTGACCTCTGACCTCTCACCTGTGACTTCCTGCCCACCAGTTTCTGCAGCTCGGCCTTGCAGCGCTGCAGCTCCTGCTCTAGCACCGCCCGCTCCCTCTGGCTGCTGTCGTACAGCTGCTGCAGCTCGGCCAGCTCGCCCTTCAAACCGTCACACTGACAGAGAGACACGTTAACGCTGCAGCTGTGGCCAGATGTTAGCTCACTGCACATCTGTAGTGTTGTCATTACACAGCTTGTCCACCAGAGGGCACTGATGAGTTTTAAACAGTCTGTTGCTTGGTTTTAAAAAATCAAAACATGTCAAAATGATTATTGGTAAATATATGGTCAGATTGTTGTGACTTTAAATGTTTTCATACAAACAATATTGATCAGCACATTATATCTCAACATTTAGTGATCAATATATCATATATCAGCTAATATTACCTTGTAAATATGTTTATATCTTATATTTCCCCTAGGAGATAAATCTATCTATCTATCTATCTATCTATCTATCTATCTATCTATCTATCTATCTATCTATCTATCTATCTATCTAAGTAACAGGAAACTGAAATGTAAAAAGAATTTGCGTAATTTCAGACAAGAACTTTAGAGAAGAACTGGTTCATGATGTCTCAGTGTGAACCACAGTCATAACTCTTAAAAACATTAAAGGAGAAGAGTTTGTGTTAAAGAGTAAATAGGGGCTGATGTATTCAGATTTCTGTATGTATGTCAATGACAACAACATTAATCTGCAGTCAAACACACTCAACAAGGTCAAAGGTCATGGTTCGTCCTGTTACCTCTCTCTGGACCCTCTGAGCCGTCTCCTCCGCCTCCCTCAGCTGGACCTTCAGGACGTTCAGCTCCGAGCTGCACACCATGTCCTGGACCGAGGACAAGTCCAGATCCTCTGGGGGGCGGTCCTGGTGTCCAGGACCAGCCTGGGACAGAGTGATGTAAGAGTCCGCCTTCCCCTGGTCCTCCTGCTCACGCTCAGTGCTGCCCTCCACTCTGACTGCCAGGTACACGTCGTCACACCTGTTCACCAGGACGACAGGTGGTTCAGAAGGTGTAGACCATTGTGACAGACATCAAGTATATATGAAATAATATTTAAAAAATAGTTCAGTTATAAAACCAGATAACCTGCTTAAATTATGTGTTTGTGTAAAATTTGAAATAAACTGAAATAAAGAAAATAAAGATTCATCCTGATAAACATCTTTAAATCTTTTTTTATTACAGCTCTTAATAAAAACAAAAATCAGTTTTTTCTTAATTAGTTTTTACCACGTGTTCTTTATCATTGCTGATTATTATTATGTGACTTTACCACCATATAACCTGTAAATACACCTGTAAATACACCTGTAAATACATCTGTAAATACACCTGTAAATACACCTGTATGAAAAATAAGAATCAGTCGGCCTCAGGCACATTCAGAGTTCAGTCATCAGTCTAAAACATTTCCTTTTAAAATCAGTGAATCACATCCAGCTGTGATGGGTGTGAACATCTGTAATGAAATTTCAGTTGTTTGATTGACAGCCGGTTGGACCACTCACGCGTCTCGTTGCAGCTGCAGTTTCTCCACTTTGCTGCTCAGCTCTTTGTTGTCGTTGGTGAGAGACTGACGCTCGTCCGTGAGAGAGAGGAGTTCGTCCTTCAGCTGACTCACCTCACCTGAACACAACACATCCGCACTCAGCACAGTGACAGGAGCTGTTGGCGCCCCCTGGAGGTCACTACACCTGACAGCCTGTGTAGAACAGAGTTCCTCACCGTGTGTGTGCGTCTCAGGGTGTCGGCTCTTCATGCTGATCTCCGCCCTCAGTGTGGTGATCTCCAGCTCGTACTCCTGCGCCGTGGCGTGGAGCCTCTGTAGCTCCGCCCTCAGCCGACACAGCTCCTCCTGCAGGGATGCGATGTCGTTCTCTCTCTCGGCCGCCGCCTCCTCAGCCGCCTGCTGCAGCACCAGCACCTCCTCCTGAGCCGAACGCAGCTCCTCCTGCACCTCGTCCAGCTCGCTCTCCTTCTCCTCCTCCAGACTGTCCATCTCCTCCTGGACGGAGCGGAGCTGGGCTGCAGGAGCAGGAGTGAGGATTAGAGAGGAGTGGGAGCTCTTTCATTCCCGTCTTTGTGAGGACATTTCAGACATGTTATTTCAGGACGTCTCCACTTTCTACGAATGTCCACAAACACATGGTGGAACGTCTGGACCTAAACGAACGTACGGAGGCCCTGAAGGTCACACAGGATAAAAATATCACCTGCAGGACGTCAAGGTCTCCGTAGGAAAGTGAGACACTTCTGAAAACAGTATTCTTAAAAGTGAGTTCTTAGGACGAGAAGACGTTTCTCAGACAGGAAGACATTTGACAAAGTGAAGAATGTGGACACGTCCAACATTGAGGACAGGTGAGGTCAGGAGTTTCCTGAAAGTGTGGAGACACTTCAGGTGAATTTTAATGAGTGAAAACATTTTTAGAAAAAGAGCAAATCAGCTGAAATCATTTTTGAAATCAACTTTTGTTAGTTTGATGTTTGTGAAGAGTGAGGACAGCTTCAGTCTTTGAAGACATTTCTGGTGATGAAGGGGATTTTTGGAAGGAGACATTTTTAGAAAGTCCCATCCAGTGTAAAGGTCTGTGTGTATGTGTGATTATAGATCAGGTCTAGGTTCTATATTAAGAAATGCACACAGCCTGTATTCAGAAACTGAGCCTTAAAACCAGCCGTCAGGACTTCTGGAACTTTGTGATGTCACAACAACAACAAGTCTTCACACTCAGAATCTGCATGTATGTGACACGTGTGAGTGAGTTGAAAGGTCACGTACCCTGCAGTCTCTGGATCTGTCTGGTGAAACTCTCGGCCTGGTGGGCGCTCGCCAGCCGCTCGTCCTCCAACAGACCTGAGCAGACAGAAGAAGAATCAGTGTGTATATTTAGTTTTATGAGTTATTATTCAATCAATTAAATACATTATTTTTGTACTGATTTGATCATAATAGTTTAAAGCAAGAAGCAGAATTTATGAGCCAGAGACAATCGTCAGTTAGAAACGTCATAACACAGACAATGTCAAGAACAAATATGGCGGCGTTTAATATTGAAAGAATCTTCCTGTAATTTATTGGTTATAAAATATTAAATAGTTAATTTCATGTTTAATCTGGGTATTCTAAACTTAAACAATAATAATAATATAGAATAAAGTTTTGATAATGCAATGTTTTGTGATTATTCCAGATGAAACTGTTATAAACCATCACTAAAAGATAGATAGATATATACTTTATTTATTCCCCAGGGGAAAGTCAGGCGTCCAACAGCGTGTGTATTGCATGTGTGTGTTACATGTGTGTGACGTGTGTGTTACATGTGTGTTACATGTGTGTTACATGTGTGACACATGTGTGTTACATGTGTGTTAAATGTGTGTCACGTGTGTGTTACATGTGTGTTACATGTGTGTCACGTGTGTTACATGTGTGTTAAATGTGTGTCACGTGTGTGTTACATGTGTGTTACATGTGTTATATGTGTGTCACGTGTGTGTTAAATGTGTGTCACGTGTGTGTTACATGTGTTACATGTGTGTCAAGTGTGTGTTACATGTGTGTTACGTGTGTGTTACATGTGTGTGTTACATGTGTGTGTTACATGTGTGTTACATGTGTGTTACATGTGTGTGTTACATGTGTGTTACATGTGTGTTACATGTGTGTCACGTGTGTGTTACATGTGTGTTACATGTGTGTTACATGTGTGTTACATGTGTGTTACATATGTGTTAAATGTGTGTCACGTGTGTGTTACATGTGTGTTACATGTGTGTGACATGTTTGTCACGTGTGTGTTACATGTGTGTTACATGTGTGTTACGTGTGTGTTACATGTGTGTTACATATGTGTTAAATGTGTGTCACGTGTGTGTTACATGTGTGTGTTACATGTGTGTTACATGTGTGTTACATATGTTTGTTACATGTGTGTGTTACATGTGTGTGTTACATGTGTGTTACATGTGTGTTACATGTGTGTGTTACATGTGTGTTACATGTGTGTTACGTGTGTGTCACGTGTGTGTTACATGTGTGTTACATGTGTGTTACGTGTGTGTTACATGTGTGTTACATGTGTGTTACGTGTGTTACGTGTGTTTTACATGTGTGTGTTACATGTGTGTTACGTGTGTTACATGTGTGTGTTACATGTGTGTGTTACATGTGTGTCACGTGTGTGTTACATGTTTGTTAAATGTGTGTTACATGTGTGTTACATGTGTGTGTTACATGTGTGTTACATGTGTGTCACGTGTGTTACATGTGTGTTACATGTGTGTGTTACATGTGTGTCACGTGTGTGTTACATGTGTGTTACATGTGTGTGTTACATGTGTGTTACATGTGTGTCACGCGTGTGTTACGTGTGTGTCACGTGTTTGTTACATGTGTGTGTTACATGTGTGTTACATGTGTGTTACATGTGTGTGTTACATGTGTGTGTTACATGTGTGTGTTACATGTGTGTTACATGTGTGTTACATGTGTGTTACATGTGTATTACATGTGTGTGTTACATGTGTGTTACATGTGTATTACATGTGTGTGTTACATGTGTGTGTTACATGTGTGTTACATGTGTGTCACTGACCCTGCAGCTCCATGAAACTCTCCTCATGTCTCTGGGAAACCTCCCTGGTCTCCTCCAGCTCCAACAGCAGCTGTATCACCTGAGCTCTCAGCTCCTCCAGCTCGTCCTCTTCATCCGTCACTCCTCCTCCTCCTTCTCCTCGCTCTTCATCCTCCATCTCCTCCCTCTCGTCCTCCTTTTCCTCCTTCACCTCCTTCTCTTCCTCCTCCTGGCCTTTCTCTCCATCTCCCAACGTCTCCTCCTTCTCCTCCTTCTCCTCCAGGGACTCCCTCTCCTTGGCCGTCAGAGTTTCTGCCAACATGATGGGCTTGTCCACCTTCAGCTCACACAGCTCGTCTGAGGAAGGAAACACACAGAGGATTTATCATGTTTCAAATCACAGGAGAAACTCCGTCCTGTGGCTCCACCTGCTGGTGATGGTGGAGAAAAACAGAAAAACAGACCTGATGAAGGTGGAGGAATATTTTACACTTTCATGATCTACATGTCACCAGAAATCATCAACAGACACTAATATGTCACAGAAGATTAAAATGAAATGAGCTGAAGTTTGTCCTCAGAAAAGAAAACTGCTCATTTACAGTGTTGATGATCAGAACGTACAAACTACATCTGAATAATAATGTTTATAAAAACCTCTGAGATAAGACACACACACAGGTCACCTAAATAAGAATTCACTGGAAGGCTTTTATTCTGAAACAGGAAGTTGTAATTGACTGTAATTAACAGGAGTGTAAAACCAGTGAAGGTAGAAAAACAGTCTGAATAAAAGAGTTTCTATTCGAGAGACTGAGCTGCAGAGGTGAGTATGACTGACTCTGCTGTTTCATTAATAATTATTATGATAAATTTATTATCTGACGTTATAAATGTCTTTCTGCCTCAGTCACTGTTTGTTTACACATACTGCAGCAGCAGCAGTTTGTTCCTCACACATTTTAAATCTGAATTCAATAAACACTCAGTGAATCCATTAATATTCAGACGCCTCCAGCTCCATGTCAACACACAGACACTGACCAGATGGATCCAGGACCTCCTCTATGACGGGCGGCAGCCGGAGTCCGTCCATGTTTTCAGCTGATGGAGGAGGAGAAGCTGCTGCAGAGACACAGAGGGGGGGTGAAGGAGGATCAGAGCGCCACACAGAGGGGTGAGGAGGGGGGGGGGGACGAAGCAGATGGAGCCCAGGAAGCCTCCTCACGCTCCGGGCAGAGCGAGCCGCTGCAGCCCCTTCATCCTGCTGGAGCCGAGAGACGAGCGAAGACTGGGGGAGGAGGGGGAGGAGGGGGAGAGCTGTGAGAGAGAGAACTGCGACAGCAGCACAGCTCCACCGATACTGGATTATACAGGTCGATACTGAAGGTGATATCTGAGATTAATGTCTCACATCATCATCACTGTGATCTTAACAATGATTCTGTGAATTGAAATCACAGCTAGAAACTGAATTTATTACATCAACACATTTGACTCTCCAGGATCACAGGACTGTTTCTTCAGTCTGTTGGTGTTAATTCACCAGGTTTTAAACCTTTTCTTTAACTGTGACCCAAACATACAGCGGACAAGACACAGGTGAGGGAAACAGACACAGGTGAGGGAAACAGACACAGGTGAGGGAACTGGCAGGACACAGAGAGGGGGGGAGGTCAGATGACTGTGAATGGAGGGACACCTGGTGGCTGGATGGGGAATGACAGCTCATGGACATTTCTAGAGAGGTGAGGATGTGGGTGAACAGACGATCATGTTCCTCTCAGGATGAACTGTCACTGCGATGATGTGCCACCATCAGGTCAAAGTTTTAATCTGCTCAATACTTTGGTTTATGATCAGATACCTGCAGAACTAATGAGGCTCCCATCAGCCTCAGCTCTGCGGTTACTGCTACTTAGCAACTGTTAGCATGCTAACATGGATGCTACAAGGAGATTTCTGTACTTCGTTGTTCAGAGTTGAAACAACACGTTGATGCTGTTTCCATTTTGTGTCACTTACTATCAGAGTTACTGCTAATTAATACATTTTCTAGCTGATCCAGGTCACTCTGTGTGGACAACAGTTACAACCTAACACCAGATTACAAAGTGAATGCTACCAAGATACACAACACGTGAATTAGCAGTTTAATCAAAAGTTTCAACATCAACAACGTAGGAAGTTGTCCAACAAAATGTTTCCGAGTTGTTGTTCTGACTTCAGGGGGCGCTCATATGAACTTTCCCAGTCAGAAACTAATTGTTCTAATTATTCCAACACCACACGAATGCACCTCAAGATCACGATCATCAACAATCCATCCAATATCTGTTGAGCTCTTCCAGTCTAAATCAATGTCAACATCATGGTGGCGCTAGATGGAAAGTCACAGCTGAAGGTTGTTGACTGATTGATATTTGTCTGGATCAAAACATTTCCATCTCTGCAGCCACATGCTAAAGTGGCTAATGTGGCTAACGAGCTCACATTATGTTGAAGCTAAAATCAGCTGCTGGTATCGGTGTGTGGAGAGCAGCTCTGTCTCTGGATCCATCTCTTTTCACTCTGAGTGACCTTCCTCCCTCTGATATAAAATCAGCTCACACTTGTCTGTCCTCCATCACTGCTGCACACATGAACACAAACACACACAGAATGAATAAATACCTGGTGCTGAGGTGCAGACGCTGCAGTTTCCTGATGCTGCTCTGTTTCCTCTGTGTGTAGCTGCAGACCTCCTCCTCCTCCTCCTGCTGTCCTATATTCATCAGCGCTGCTCTCGGTGTGATGCAGAGCGACGTCACTACATGCTACAGACAGACACAGGCCATGACGTGAACACACACTCAACCTCCCTGACATTATTAACTGTTTAATATCACAGTCACCTGTGAGAATATAAAGGATTTACATTAATTCATTAATCCTGCAATTATTTTCTTAATCAATTAATTTCCTAATAACAGATAATTTGGTCTTTAAAACGTCAGAAAATAACAAATACATGTCTTCAGATGTCCAAACATATTCAGTTTACAGTCACGAGACCGAGAAAACCATCAGATCCATAAAGTCCAGAAGGTTCTGACCCCAGATCACAGGTTCAAAGGTTCTGATACGACAGCAGCTACAGTACGGTGAGTTAGAGAAACACTGTGACAGCACATCCACACCGTCCACCTGTCCACATCAAGCACCTGTGTTTGTGCTGAGCAGGTAAATTTATTTTGTTTGTGTGTTTTTGTTGTTGTTCTTGTTGTTGTTGTTGTTGTTTACTCCTGACGAATGAGTTCCCTAATGTGGATGATAAAGCTAAACCTGATCTGACCCGGAGACACAGAGACATGTACTGAGGATTAACTGACATTGTAAATTAAATCTTAAGAATCAGTTTATATTAATTAAGGAGACCTGCGTTATTATTTTCTGCTGTATTCACTCAGATGTAACACGTGGCTCCTGCAGGTCTAATTTCAGGGTGCCGCAGGTGCGATTTCACACCAGGTAACACAAACACACTGCAGGACTCGGTGCTTCACAAACATCCCGCTGATAAAAATGGAAATGCAGCAAACTCCAAACATCACTTCTGAGGGGTTGCTAGGCAACACAATTCCTGACTGGATAACTGGAGGACAGAAAATATAAACCTGACTCTGACTTGAACTGTACGAACAAATGAGACGATGGTCAGAGAAGAAGACGTTAGAGGAAGCCGGCTGAGTGGTTCAGCTGAGATCCACTCATTACTTATTCATTTATTTTAATTATTTATTTATTCAGCCTCCAACACTAAACATACACAGAATAACAGCTACAACACAAACCACATCCCATGATGTTTTTGTATCACGCAGAATTAAATTTAATTCCACCAAATCCAATCTGGGACTAAGAATTATTTAGTACATGAATTTATTGATGTTAATATCCCATTATTGTAGGGCTGCACCAAAGTTATTTTCATTATTGATTAATCTGCAGCTTTTCTAAATTGATCGATTATCTAGAAAATATGAAAAATTCCATTATACTTTCCCACAGTCCACAGTGACGTCTTGTGACAGTACAAAACCCAGTGATTCAGTTTATTATAACAAACAACTATGAAAACCAGAAACTCCTCACATTTTGATGGATTAACCATTAAAACGAAGCTAGCAAAGTTAGCTTAACTGCAACTTCAGGCTAAAGTTAGAAGCTAGCTAACATTAGGTTAGCTAAACTATACTTACTGAAAGTAAAGTGTATTAAACAAGCTACATAGTTAGCTACTGCTACTTATATTTACCTACAGTGTCTGAGCGACGCACGTGAGCAGAGACTCGAGGGCGGAGCCACAGACGGGGTGACGCAGCAGACGAGACGTTCGGCCAACATCAAGGTTATGAAATGGTACGGTCCACTTTAGGGGTGTCTGAGATCGTATTACAGGGTTCTTCCGGGCATGAAAAGGTGAAATATATTGTAATATATTGTAGGAGTCTGTTGTGTATCTGTGTGCAGCTCTGCGGAGTCAGTGATAGTTATAGAATTATATAAGAAAGGAGCTCAGACAAAGACTCGACTTCACTTTCTTCTCAGGAACAAGGAGAGGAGTGTGAACAGATACTGCAGGTCTCAAAGTGATGATGATGATGATGATGATGATGATGATGATGATGATGATGATTCCTCCAGGTGACGCAGATCACCTGATCTAATGAGTGGGATATACAGGAACATCAGTGATGAAAATGTTTCATACATGATTTTACTTTTTAAAAGATAAGACTTAAAATATTATTTTATTTTATTTATAAGTATGACCAACACAGAGATAAGTTATGATGTGTTCAAATTGTATGTTATAATAATAACAATATATAATACAATCAGACAAGATATAATACAATAATATACTATAAAATACAAGTTAGAATAAGACAAACATGATAATATACACTTAAATATGACAAAGGAAGACATGATAAGAGATGATAAATGATAAATGAAGTAAAATACATACGTAAATATACGTAATACATAGTATAATACCATGATACGATACGACACTATGTAATAATACTATACAAAAGCATATGTTTCTATACTAACTATATAAAAAGTACAGTGTATTACGATGTATGTTATATGACTTTGCAGTGTGTGTTTTTGACAGTGTGATGTGACCTGGTTTCTTCGGGCCTCTTGCTGCCTCTAGAGCTCATTAATAAAACATGTGGAGATCCAGCAGAGCAGAAGGAAACTGATCAGAGGGCAGCAGAGAGAGGACGAGAGAGCTTTAACTTCACTACAGAGAGAGAGAGAGAGAGAGAGAGAGTTTAAATCAGTGCTGGAGGATGCAGGGAGCATCCTGAGAGACTGGGGATTAATTACTGATGTGACACAGCAGCACAGAGGGGAACACAGACATTATTACTGTCACCACAGGGACAGGTAGACGTACCTGTACAGTTATATGGTCAGAGGTTTTCTTTAAGAGCTAAAAATGTGATCTTCTGAAAACTACTTTATAGCAACTTTTTTATCAGGACTGAATTTCAATAATGTGACATTTGGTTCATTTGTATTTGTGGTAACTTTATTAATCTGTTGTTATTGATCTGTTATCAGTGTTATAACCATAATTGTGTCCAGTTAAATCAGATCTATGTAAATATATCTTGTCCCCTTGTTGTGGTGAAGAGCTCCTCACGAATCGTCTTCCTTTTATTTTATTTATATAAAATGCATCATTCATTGAATTACAACAGCTCATGGACTTCATAACTTTAATAATAACTTAATCAATCATAAATTAATCTGTTTGACCAGCACTGCTGTTTGTTATAGTGTTTCATGCGGACGCCATCTTGCGGCGGGTTTCAGCCTCACAGCTCGGGACATGAACGAATCTGCTGTTAGAAACTGAACAACAGAAAAAGAAACGAAGCTTAAAAAGAGAGGGAAACTTTGCTTTTACGTTTACGTGGATTTCCAACGTTTCTTATTTTACAACCGGTAGAAATATATATTTTTTTGTATTCATTTCTGTCGAATCAGAGAACGTGAACTGAAACTAGTTTTATGTAAATGCGGTTCATGTGTTTCACAACCGGCAGTTTGACGGTTACGAGTGATCCCGGAGGCTGCCCGAACACCAGAGGTCGGTTAACTGTTCCACTTCTACACAAACTTCCCGCGTCTGTACTTAACTAACCAAGGCTGTGGTTACCGGAGGTTACAGTTTGACGTCACTCAGCGGGATCGGTTAACCTTCAGTCACCGGTTAACGATAAGCTAACTGTGTGTGTGTGTGTGTGTGTCAGGTTAGCGCCATTTCATCAAGTGCTTTTCAGGGCATCGGTGTAAATCAACTTAATTTAACCAATGCATGATCGGAATATGAAACACCTGAGGACAGGTGAGCTTCTTGAGTCGATGTCAGGCGGGTTTAAAGATAGGCTATCATCACTAACAGGTGTGTGGTGACGAATAATGTTATTAAACAATCAAACAAACAAAAACTACAATTTATGTTATTTTTATCAAAAAGGAAAAGAATATAAAATACATTTTTTTAATAAAAATAATTTACATATATATATTTATATAAATAAATAATAAAATATAAAACTAATTTAATTTATTTGTTATGGAAATCATTTCCTCATTTTTTAAGTGAGGATATTTTCTGGCTTCTGTTATTCATGGCTCTCTAACTTCAAAATGTACTATTGATCATTTCTACAAATCCATGATGTCCTAATTTTTACATCAGTAAAAGGTGTTTATATGTATTTATATATATATATGGAGTGTTGTATCACAGGTCAGTTCATGCTGATTAATCTTATTAATGAGGTTAATAACAGTGTTTGGTAACATGATGTTTTACACCATGAGATGAAGTTTCTAGTAATAACTTGAGACCATGTTCACTTAGTACACTTCATTAATTAATTCAACCCATTTATTGGTATTTTATGATCTATTGTTATTGATCAAACTACCAAACAGTATAATCAATGGTTGGAATGTTTTTGACCAGCTCTTACTTAAACTTATCAGTAATATCAAATCAATATTGTCAAATTAATTAACTGACAGGTTCAACTGTGCATCATGAGATCTATACAAACTTTAACTGGAGTACTGTAGTGAGTAAAGGCCTGTTACGTGTCTCAGAGTATTTACTCTTACCTGGACTTCAGTAAAGGACCGTGATACTTCATCACTGATGACATCACAGCGTCTGTTTGTGTTGCAGGACGTTGAGTTGAAGATGTCGGGGCTGCGGTTCATTGTGAGTGGACTGCGTGGAGGAGGAAGACTCCTGAGAAGTCTTCCTCACGTCCAGAAGACGTGCGTGTCCTCGGAGACCCTCCACATCAGACTGTACGGAGGTCCTCCTCGTCTTCCTCTGAGGACTCAGCTGTGTTTCCTGTCTCAGGGCCGGGACCCGTCCCCCTCTACAGCTAAACTGAAGCTGAGGACTCGTCTGCTGGTGACTCTGCTGTTCGGCAGCGGCTTGCTGGCCGTGTGGTTGTACGTGTACTCGGAGAAGCAGCAGAAGTTGCGGCAGCAGCGGATCCAGCAGCTGCAGCGGGTGGCTCTGGGTCAGGGGAGCTTCAGCCTCCTGGACCACAGGGGGCAGCGCAGGACCAAGCGGGACTTCCTGGGCAGCTGGGTGCTGATGTACTTCGGCTTCACGCACTGCCCCGACATCTGCCCTGAGGAGCTGGACAAGCTGAGCGCCGTGGTGTCGGCTCTGGACCGGGACGCCTCGCTGCCGCCGGTCCAGCCCCTCTTCATCACCGTGGACCCGGAGAGGGACGACGTGCCGGCGCTGGCCCGATACGTCAAAGACTTCCACCCCCGCCTGATCGGACTGACGGGTACGTCAGAGGAGGTGAAACACGCAGGACAAGACTACAGAGTGTACGCCAGCCCCGGACCCAAAGACGAGGACGGAGACTACATCGTGGATCACACCATCCTGATCTACCTCATCAGTCCTGACGGGCTGTTTCTGGACTACTACAACAGGACGAAGGACCAGGAGCAGATCACAGAGAGCATCAGGAACCACGTCAAGAACTACATCCGACTCTGAGGAACCGGACTGAAACTTTAACGCTGCAGACTCCTGGGACCTGGAAATGTTATATACATGAATGACTGAGGCAGCTCCTGGACCTTCCCCCAGATCACATCACATTTATGTTGTATGAAGCACACACCACTAATAAAGATTAAATCTCAAGTTTGAATTCTTTTTTAAAGCAACACTAGTTGTTCAAATGAACAGAAGACAAGAGTTCAGACTAAAGTCTCTTAGATCTGACGAGGAGACCAACACCGGGTCCACACGACCTCCGAACACCAGCCCCGTGTAGAGCTGCAGCCACTGATCCATAATCCATTAATCAGAAAAAGTTCTAACGAAAAGTGTCAAACATTATCCAGCTGCTTCTCTTAGAGTTGATAGTCATTTTAATATTTCCTATTTGTTTTAGCTGTTGGTCGAACAGAAACAATCTCAGGCTGTTGGAGACACTTTTCACTTTTCTGGTATTTAAAAGCAAAACGATTCATTAAGAAAATAATTCATCCATAATGAAAATAAAGTCTAATGTTTGAGGTTATTAGTTATTATAACACATCAACACGTCGCCGTGACAACAGTCACGTCTTGTACTCTGCACTAGTTTTGGACCGGGCTCTATCAACAAATGTCTCAGACAGATTAATGATTAATCTGACCATCAGTTTTTACAACGTGCTCATTTATTTATTACAAATATTCATACATTTCCCAGAGAGAGGGACATTTACAGTCTCATATGAGATTCAACACATGATGCAGTAGAGGAGGAGTCGAGGAGAAGAGGAGCAGACAGGAACAGAGTGAAGCTCAATGTGTGTGAGCATCAGTGTGAACTCAGCTGTTTCAGGTCAAAGCCGTCATGGTCTTGAATCTGTCTGTGGCTCTGTGAGTGCTGAGCAGGGTCAGTCCCATGGAGTCCAGACTCTCCTCCAGACTCTCCTCCAGACCCTCGGCACTGTCGATCTCCACCGTGTAGTCGTTGGCCTGAGAACCAGACACCTGTCAGTCGTAAGGTCTGTTTGCGGGCTGAGACACAGGTGTCGTGCTGGTAGAATGAGTCGTGTGTATTTGAGTGTGTCGTATTTACCAGCTGCAGTGAAGCCAGCAGATATTTACAGGCTTCGAAGTTGTCCAGACCGTGAACGATAGAGGAGAACGGTCTGCGCTGACCGACGCCATTCAACGCTCCGACGATCCGGTCTCCGTAGTCGTGGATGTCGAACGCCAGACGCTCCTCCTGAAAAACACCAGCAACAGGACGTGACGCGGGGGTGGGGGGCAGAAGTCAGGGTCTGAAACCAGTCTGAACTGGTTTCCAGTGTGTGTTACCTGCAGAACCAGCTGAGGTCGGATCATGTCCTCCCAGTCTTTAACCCGACGGGACAGAGCAGTTTCCTGAGTGTAACCCTGACAGTTCACCACCAGCTGCTCCTGGAGACGCCACAGACACAACTTTCATCACTTACTCAAACTTTTCATCTGATCTTTTTATGACACAGAATATATTTTATTTGACCCCTCCCTCCCACTTCCTCCTGTTACTTCAGGCTGCACATCATTTCCACAAGACGAACAAAATACACCTCAAATAGAAATATAATGTCATGCTTTGCCAGGGAAGACAAGTATTTCTATATTTTAACAGATGATACATATAAAATACAAAGTCTAAGCTTCAATACAAATGGCTCAAATCTTTTGCTCATACAATAAAGATCTAGAGGTTTAAGTGAAATAAAAAATACTGTAAATACTAGAATGAACAAAGTCCCTTGAAACTCTACACATTTAAAAAATATGAAGACTTGCTTTATCATTATATTTATTTAGTTTAACAGACTCTTCTCTCAATGTTGAAGCTCCTCAGTGTTTCTCTCTTTACCACTGATTTAATGTAAAGCTCCATAGTTGCAGGTATTGGGACGTGAACTGTGTCATTACTACTTGATAAAAGTGAATGAAACAAGGTCTTTAAAGGTTCATTGGTTCTGTTCATCCAGGCAGCAAACTGCAGTTTGAATAGTGAATGACAGAGTGTTGTTGACGTACCACACGCAGCTTCACCAGATCTTCATAACTCAGCTCGTCTCTCGGAGCTTCTGCACAGACAAAAAATAATAATCACCACAAACTGACGTCTTTAAAACTCCCGTCACTCTCAGGTGTTTTATTTACCTGGTGATATGACGTCTGGTCCAAACTCAGCTGGAACATCATCAGGAAATGCTTCATATTCGTTGTCTGAGTTGACGTCATCTCCACCTTTAAAAGATCATTTTAAACTTTAATCAGAACAGCAGGAAGAAGTTCAGGTGTAAAAACTGAAAGCTGATGATGTCAGCTGAAGTGGGGTTCACAGCGTGCAGGCTGAGTGGAGATCTTTTACCCAGCAGGTCGGGGTGTCTGAATCCTTCCACAGGCTCCTCCCCCTGCTGCTGTGGCCCCTCCTCCAGCTGCAGGAAGGTTCTCCTCAGCTCGTCATCAGAAACCACCACGCCCTGAGTATGAAAGGGAACCGGTAAGGTAAACAACAAACAAACAAACAAACAAACAGACAGACACACACACAGACCTACAGACAGACAGACACACACAGACAGAGACACACAGAGAGACACAGAGACACACACACACACACACACACACACACTTACTGCTTTCCTGAAGATCCTCTTCCTGGTCTTCAGTTTGTCTTTCATCGTGCTCAGGTAAATGTAGTTCAGGTCTGCAAACACATGAGGCTGCAGGTTCACTTCCACATGAACAAACCACATCACCGATGAAACAGGGTTTTAGCTCAACTATTTATAAAGTCACATTTGGCACGTTTGCATTCTGCAAAGGTTAAAGTTAAAGGTTAAAGGTTAAAGGTTAAAGTTCCAGTTTGTGCTGTTGGTCTGAAACATACGGACTCTTCTCAAATTTGTTTCCTGGGACCTGAATCTGTTTGAATCATTAAATCACATTTTACTCGTCTGAACTCTGAACAAAGATGGAGTTTGTAGATCTGAATTATTATTCAGATTATGTTGAGTATAAGAAGTACAGGCTGACAGAAAGCATGAGGAGCAAACCTGTAAATGTGGGTCCATTCTTCAGCTTGTGTTCAGGAGGATCATCTACAACACAAAACAAAAACCCATCATGCTCATCGTCAGTTAAAGCTCCAGAACAGATCAAACACATCAACTCTGTTCTCACAGGTTCCTCTGAACCAGCTCCTGAAGTCCTCAAGTGACGACGGTCGTTTCCTTTTCCTCTTCCCTCCGTCGTCCAGACCGTCAGGAACCTTGTAACATTTCCCTGAAGGAGAAACACAAACTGTGTCAGCACAGAGAGCGACTCCTCCCTCTGTGAAAACACCTGAGTCCTGATGCTCACCTGATTTAAACGGTTTGTCCTCCCCGACGACAGAGTACGGGTCATGAAACGTCCACAGGTTCATCTGAGAGCCACAAATAATAAACTGCAGAGATGAAACCAATTTCTTCTCACAGCAGATTTATACATTTGATCTGTATTAGAGCCACTGGCAGAGGATGAAAAGTGAAGTTTCAAAATATTAGTTTAAATGTTTTAAAAAGGATAGATTTGTGATCTGGAGAGAAGTCACAGTATTTAATTAAGTTGCAATTTCTTTATATCAAAGGTTGATATAAAGAAATAAAATCTGAATCTCTGAATAAAGTAAGAGATTGTAATATTTCATATTTAAGTGATGATTTTACGAGAAAAAGTTCTAATATGAGAATAAATTATTATGAATTAATTGGAATAACACAGAGGAGATATCGTACAGCAGGCGGCGCCTCCTCCTCCCTCCTCCACTTGTCAGTTTCCACCTGTCGTCTCTCTCGAATCATCCGGCCTTCACCTGGAGCCTGAGACAAAACGTCAACAGTTTACCACAGTGAGAAAAACTCAGTAGATTCAATGTATACTAATGGAAACTCTGAATCTATAAATGCATTGGTTTATAGATTTAAAAAAATATATATTAGCGTTGGTTAAATCTCCATGTAGCTGAAAACAGTCCTGCATTCACAATCTGAAGTCAGTTTTCCTCTAGATATAAGTGCACTTGAATGCACCATGTTGACAGACCTCAGTTATAAAGTAAGATTAAACAGAGTTAAGATGATGGACTCAGACCTGCTGTCTGTCGATGTGCTCCTCTGGCTCCTGGTCCAGCTCCATGTTGTTGTCGTCTAACGGCAGGAAGTTGTCTGCAGCGTCACCTCCATCATCTCCCACATCAGCCGCACCTGCTGCAGCCTCACCTGTGACCAGAGCCGCAGCACCTGGACCACCAGACAACATTTAATCACAAAAAAATAAATAAACAAAAAGCCTGGGAAAATCAGCAGCCACCGAGTTTGAAATACATTTCAGATAAATAAACAACAATAAAAACTTTCACTCCGTCACATCACTGTACAAGCAAAGACTAATCACATTCTCTAATCAAACTTTCACATCAGATCAATAATTTAAACTGATCCGCTTCACAGTTTGGAATCATTACATATAATTATCAGTAGCCATAAGAAGATCATCTTTACCTTCCTGCTGCTGCAGAGACTCACTGTCCTGTAGAAACCTGGACCCTGATCTGAGCGTGAGGAGGATCAGATCCTCGTCTCCTGGGAGGAACAGGTTGATCCTGAAGTCCTTCTGACTGCACAGGACCTCACCCTTCAAGCTGACACACACACACACACACACACACACAGACACACACACACACACACAGACACACACAGACACACACAGACACACACACACACTTATCTGAAGCTGAAACACTTCCTGTGTAGACAGATTTATGTAGTTGTCCCTTTATTTTGAAAGGATAACAACATCTGTAGAGTCTGACCTGATGAGAGGAAGTTTGTGCTTCTCGTGGGTTTCAGGAGGAATCAGAGACTCGGGAGGAAGAGGAGCCACATTCATAGTCTGAAGACCAGAGACCAGATACACATCAGATTAAACTAGAGAGGAAGTGACTCATTAAAATACAGAAGAAGAGTGTGCTCTCAGTGTCAGTGGAGGATGAACTGACCGTGTTGGAGTCACCTCTCTGTGAGTTATCTGAGACGTCGATGTCCAGGGAAGTGAACTAAAAGAGACAAAGAAGAATCTGTCAGACTGGTTCTGATGCTGATCCAGGCTCGAGACTGACTCCATGTTTTCAGAGTGTGTGAATTAAAATTTCAGTTTCTCGTCAGATTAAATACAATTTAATTAAACTTCCTCCTCTGGTTGAGCTGAGCGTCTGTTTCTTACCGCGGCCACATCCTCAGTGTCTGCGTCGCCCTCCTGAGACTCTGCTGCCTGTTTGTTACGTCTGTCAGAGAAACGACACCATCACAACATTTCTATCACAAACACAACCATTAAACTAGAAGAAATGTCTGTCATTTTACTGTGAAGCAGCACAGATCATTAGATGAGACTGACTCTTACTTCTTGTTTCTGTCATTGATGTACTCCAGAGTTTGGTAAACGAGACTGTGCAGCAGCTCCACCTGAAACAGTCACACAGTAACACACAATATGAGATTTTTATGGATCAGATAAACACACTGACACTTTATTTTAATGTGTTATTGTCCTTTGGTTGTACCTTCTTGCTGTAGATGCAGGCTGAGCCCTGGATCAGCAGTGCTGCTTCTGCAAAGTTCAGTCTAATTTCTCCTCCATCAAATGTGATGCACATTTCATCCAACTACAGCAACAGAGAGAGAGAGGGTTCTATCTCTGTTAACCCCAATTAAAACAAAATAAACAGTAAGTTGGAAATGTCAGTGGTACAAACATCACCTCTTCTAAATAGTCGTTTAACTCTGAAGCCACATCGATCTCCCAGTTCTTGGTGAGTTCTCGAATGGGCTGCAGCAGGTGAGCGTACCTGCTCTCTGTGGACTCCATGAGCACTTCACTGTGAATCAGTCACAATACAACAATGGAAAACACTTCATTACATGTTAAAGTACAGGAGGAAAAGTACAGAGGTACTATCTGAAGTTAAAGTACGAATTATGCAGAATGGTAATTTATTACAGCAGCTGTGTCATTACATCCGTCTTCATTAGGTTTATAATGTTCAGGTTTCTTTATTGTCAGACATGTGTAAACCCAGGTCTGTTTATCACTGAGCTCGGGGTTAGTTGGTTTTATTTACACACGAGGGATACTCAGAATATTAGAAACACTATGACTAACTATGACCTCTATGAGGATTCATTACACATTTCTGACAATGTCAACAAAAACGTTAACGGTGGAATCTACTGGATTGTCTTAGATTATACAGGTTTACCTAATAAAGTGGGTTGTTTCTCATAACTTTGGCGCTTTGCACGGATTTAGCTTTACAGGAAAAAGGAACATCTTGACGCATTGAATCATCTACGACTGCAACACGGCACCTTATTAATTCTTAATGTCTTAAACAGTCTTTTGTCTCATGGAGGTAACTTTATACCGGAGGTAAACAAAGTGACAGATTTAAGACTTAATTCGTTTCCTCCGACTGTACGACTCCCAGAGCCGGAATATAATATCTCCCGCCTCTCAATAATCTAGTTTGTAATAATAAATACATGACGTTAACATTAAGTTTTAAAACTGTTTTACGGTAAAGGACAGTAAAATATAACTCACCTAAGAGACCGAGTCGGTTAAGAGCCGCTAAATGTTCCGTAGCAGTTAGCAAACAGTCAAACAACCCGCGCTGTAGTTCTTCTTCTGTGCTTCTGTCAGTGTTGGTTAAAGCCGGTGCTGCCCCCTGTCGGCGCCATGCTGTAACACTGGCCGCTGCCCGGTAGATGGCGGGACTGCGCTTTGGATCGCAGGATTCATTAACAAATAATTAATTATCTGAGTAAAACATTATAAATAAAGCACAATGACAAGATTAATAAAACAACAGGTGAACAAAGAAAGATGGCAGATGAAAGATCTGCCATTATCTGTTGAATCTTTCAGGAGAACCACGAAGCACATTCCTTTTTTTTGTTTGTTTGTTTTTTAAATGTTCAAGTGTATTCATATTAACATTGTTTTTGTTTGTTTTTTTTAAATTCTACTTACATTTATTTAAATTGGAAAATTTACAACCAATCAATCAATAAAAGAAAAAGATAAGAATTCAACAAAAAAGAAAAATAGTAATAATAATAATAAACAAATATATGATTTAAAAAACATAATTTTAGTGACAGAGGGACTTGATTTCCCTAATAGTCAGGAGGTTAACAAAACTGTTTTCCTTATAGTCAGAATAAGTGAAAAAAATCACGTTGTTTTACTTAATATGTAACTTTAACTGTACGTGTACGTGTGTGTGTGTGTGTGTGTGTGTGTGTGCGTGTGTGTGTGTGTGTGTGTGCGTGTGTGTGTGTGTGTGTGTGCGTGTGTGTGTGTGTGTGTGTGTGTGTTGGGGGGGGCTGCTTCCCCGTTTGTCCTCTGTGACCCTGACTCACTGCAACTCCAGTGAATTTGTCATTTAAATACAGTAATAAATACAGTATGTATGTCTGACAGAACCTTTGTGTGTGTGTGTGTGTGTGTGTGTGTGTGTGTGTGTGTGTGTGTGTGTGTGTCGGTCCACCTTAAATCGCGGCTCTCTGCACCACGTGACGGTATTCCTGGAAAGTTCCTGGAAATGCTTCTTTTGTGTTTATGGTGATATCGGTTATTAGGCGGCTCGGTGGACTCGGCTGTCCCGGACACGCACACTGAAGGACGGACCCGTGTTCAGGACACACACGGAGCTTTTGTGGCTCCGCGGGAAACGGGAGTGAGTCGGGTGTTTTTGTCGTCGGGCGCCCGGAGAGCAGCCGCCTCAGCTCGGACTGACAGGTTGACGGTCGGACCTCCGTCTGTCTCCGCCGCGACACGCGCCATTAGCGACAGCCACAGGACCGAGAGCGGGGCAGGAGTAAACCCGCAGCAGAGGAGCGGTTCTGCGGATCCAGACCGTCAATGTTCCCGCCGACATGTCGGACTGTTGTACACGGAGGATAAACTGGCGTCGCCGCTTCTGAACCAGCGGCTGTGGTCTGGTCTGGTCTGGTCTGGCTTGGCTTTGCTTGGCTTTGCTAGCAGCTAGCTCCGACACCGACACTCAGGTGCGTGTGGTCCTATTTTATCAGTCTCCATGTCCCCGATACGTGACATTAGGTGGGTTCTACTGCCCGCATGCGAGGTGGTGACGACAAACACCAGAGACAAGGTAAAACACCTGTGCTGTCGACTGGTGTTTAAACTGTCCGTTTCTCTGGTGAAGAAAATGAAGAAAACTCACTTTTCACCGTCTAATTCAGATATATATCACTTTAAATGTTGTCCTCTGCCTCTGGTGTGAAAACCTGCCTGAAAATAAAATGGTAGGTTTTCTTCTTGTTATTTGTGGCTGGATAATTTACCACATTACGCCTAATTATATTATGATTTTAATTTCCTCCACGGCCTCTGTCATGTAAACATGCTGGGAAATAAAATGCTAAGTTGTTTTTTTTTTTTTTTTGTTATTTATAACCTGATCTTCAATTCCGTGAACATGAACAAACTTGCTAAGAGGTATTATTTTTACTAGGAAAATGTCTAAATGGATAATTTACCTCTTTACGCCGAATTCTACTCTAAATTCCAGTGATTTAAGGTGCAAATATCCTAGAAAATGTTTCATATGTTACTAACCCTACAGTCCAGTCTTCCTTAGATTGTCCTATAATCACAACGGCTCATCAAACAGTATTTACTTAACTACCACAGATATGCGTCCAAGATACACAGTGAACAGAATCAACATTTCAGTAACATCAGGTGTGTGACTGCACATGTAAAGGACAGGTGAGGTGGTGATGAGAAACACTGGAGTCAAGGTGTTTAATGTGTCTGTTTCTCTGGTGAAGAAAATAAAGAAAACTCACTTTTCACCAAATTTAATTCAAATTTCTGTTCATTTTAATTTTCTCCTCGGCCTCTGTCATGTAAACCTGCTGGAAAATAAAATGGCAGTTTTTCTTCTTGTTATTTGCAGCCTGATCGTCAGTTCCACGTACATGAATAAACTTACTGTCCACATAATTTCTCCGGATAATTTACTTCTTTACGCCAAATTCTATTCAAAATTCCAGATATTTGAGGAGCAAACCTGAAAATGTTTTACCATGTTATAAAGTGCAGAAGAAGAAAAACGACTGATCAAATAGGATTTACCTGGATAAGGTCCACAGATTAAAATCAACATTTCAGTAACATTAGGGGTTTTATTGCACATCTAAGGGGCAGGTGACGGGAGAACACCTGTACTCTCACCTGATGTTCAGTTTGTTAGTTTTACTAGTGAAGAACAAAGAAAACTGTCTCTTCATATTTCTCTGTTTTACTTCTTCTCGAAGCCTCTGGTGTGAAACCTACTTAACTATTAAATCTCAGTTTCCTGTTTCTTTATAATTAATTCTTCAATTCTGGATACAAGAATCAACTAATCAAGCAGTGTCTTAAGATGGGAAGAGGATCAATAGACTTTTATCACCTTTCACCAAATTCTATTCAAAGCTCTTGCAGTTTTTCATCACCTCTGTTGTCTCAGTCAGACAGTGGTTGAATGTTGAAGGTCATTTATTGCACAGGTGAGCTGGTGATGAAGAACACTCAAGTCAGTCTGAAGCTTTTCTCAGATTAGTCTGTTTTTCTAGTGAGGAGTGTGGGAACGACACGAGGCCAAAGTATATTCAGAACTCTTTAAATTTTACATTTCCTCCATCGTCAGCTGGTGTATAAACATGTCGTTAAAGTCAGTTCTTTACAGTCCACTCTGAAAGTCTGCTCACAAGAAACAACCTACCTATAAGCATTAGAACTGATAGATAAATTGATTGATTGATTCTCCAGCTGTAAAATAGAGGAGCTTTTCACCTTAAACCAAATTCTGTTAAATTCTTTAAATCTAATGTCACGTCATTTGTTTTGTGGAGTATAAAACTATTAGAACTGTTTGTTCTTCACAGTCCACTGTTCACACCTCTCACACAGGAACTGATTGTTCACTAAATACTTTCTCGCAGGTAGGAGTGTGTTGTGTATTAAGGAGTATTAGATAACAATAGAGGACATTAGAATCACACAATAACGGCACAGTTACTTTCTGTGTTTAAGAAGAATGTGTGTGTTGCTCCCACAGTCCAAACTAGGCGTTAGTCATCACTAACTTATGGTATTTCTGTGAAAGCTGAGCGTCCAGTTTGAACCAAATTACTGTCAGAAAACAAAACATTTTAGACCTGACTGTGTTCTTATGTTTCCCATGTAGAAATGAGTTTAAATTAAAACTACAGTCAATGTTTTGCCTGAAGCCGTTTATTTAATTATATATGTCTTAATGTTACTGTCTTGACTAATTGTTTGGTTTTTTAGTAAAATGTCCATTTAAATACAAGGGTTCATTTTCAAATGTCTTGTTTTGTCCTGTAGATTCAGGTTCAGGGAAAATCAGAAAATCTTTTTGCTTGAACGATTGATCTGATTGATCAGTTATCCATTAAGCTTCCAGTTACGAGCTGTTAGTAAATTATTTGCTGAATTAAACAGATGGACGTGTTGACCTGTGAAGCCTCAGTTTTACAGTGTTTTGACTCAGGACTCAGGTCTGAGAGGAAAGAGACGAGTTTCCAGTAAATTTCCTTTTTCCTCTGGTTTACAGAAACTTAAACACACCCTCATAATGATGATGGTGATAGTGTTTATCTGCAGTGTCTGATGGTTTTATTTGTTTCCAGGACAGTATAACCCCCCACACCCCCACACCCCCTCGTCTGGCTGCTGCAGACCTCGTCCATGTCTGAGCTGTGGGCCTAGAACTAGGCTGAAGGTTGGATCTGTCCAATGACCTGCCAGTCCTCCGAGTCCACAGACACCATCGAGAGCGACAGACGAGCCGACAACAACTCCAGGGCTGTGGAATCGGACGAGAGTCGCATCGCCTCAGCCATGAAAGACCTGAAGAACACAGGTGAGAGAGGAAACTCCTTCACCTGTTACTAAGACATCTGTCACTGCTCACATCCAGGCTCCTGTATGTGAGGCTCTGACAGTCAGACAGACGAGAGAAACAGACCAGCAGACGGCTGATCTCTGGCTGATGAATGGCTGATCGCTGGCTGATGTATGGCTGATCGCTGGCTGATCTCTGGCTGATGTGTGGCTGATCTCTGGCTGATGTATGGCTGATCGCTGGCTGATGTGTGGCCGATCGCTGGCTGATCTCTGGCTGATGTGTGGCTGATCTCTGGCTGATGTGTGGCTGATCTCTGGCTGATGTGTGGCTGGTTTCTGGCTGATGTGTGGCTGATCTCTGGCTGATGTGTGGCTGATCTCTGGCTGATGTGTGGCTGATCTCTGGCTGATGTGTGGCCGATGTGTGGCCGATTGCTGGCTGATGTGTGGCTGATCGTTGGCTGATCTCTGGCTGATGTGTGGCTGATCTCTGGCTGATGTGTGGCCAATCGCTGGCTGATGTGTGGCCGATCGCTGGCTGATGTGTGGCCAATTGCTGGCTGATGTGTGGCCGATCGTTGGCTGATCTCTGGCTGATGTGTGGCAGATCGCTGGCTGATCTCTGGCTGATCTCTGGCTGATCTCTGTTACTATCGTGTCTGTTATGTCTCTGATGTTTTCTGTCTCTGGTCTCAGGCTGGTACTGGGGCAGTCTAACCGCCACTGAAGCCAAAGAGATCCTGCAGGACGCCTCGGAGGGAACCTTCCTGGTGCGGGACAGCTCTCAGAGGGATTACCTGTTCACCATCTCAGCCATGACGTCGGCGGGTCCCACCAACCTGCGCATCGAGTACAAACACGGGAAGTTCAAGCTGGACTCGGTGGTCCTGGTCAAGCCCAAGCTGAAGCAGTTCGACAGCGTGGTCCACCTGGTGGAGCACTACGTCATGCTGTCCAGGACCAGCGACAAGGCGGCATCGAACTCTCAGCCCTCAGCAGCACCGCCCAACGGCACGGTGCAGCTGCTGCTCACCAAACCCGTGTACACGGCCACGCCCTCGCTGCAGCACCTGTGTCGCATCACCATCAACAGGAGGACGCGGCGGGTCCAGGATCTGCCGCTGCCCAACAGACTGAAGGACTACCTGACAGACTACGCCTACAACGTGTAGACAGGGGGTGGGGCTACAGCTCAGCTCAATGCATCAGCTGACCACTGACCAGTCCCATCACCTGCTCTACAGGTACCCGGCAGGGACACGCAATAACCAGGCTGAGGTCTCCCTCCAGACGGGGGTCAGAGTCTCAGCTGGAGGTCTGCATCCTGATCACAGACACTTCAGGGTGGAGGCGGAGCCACCAACACTGAGGTACTGACCCTGACCACGACACAAGCAACACAATACCCCCCCACCACCACCACACAGTCACACTTCCTGGTCTCCTTTCAAATTAAAGCTCCAAACCAGATTCCCATCTTTTATGAACAAATAGACTCATTAGTTTCTAGTTTCTAATAATAAAATGTTCTAATTTCCCACAGTCCAAATGTCTTTAAACGTTTCGTTTTCAGGTCACTATGACAGAAACAGGAGATCCGTGACTCTGGCCTGAAAAATCATCAACAAATACAAAAGTTAAAACCACAACAGGATCACAAACAAACAGAGAGAAAGAAGTTTCCAGTTTTCTGCTGCTCAGTGAATGATGACTGACGACTGTTTGATCACCAAATAATTAAAGATCAATTTCTAATATTGTTGCAGCTCAAACTTGAGCTGACGATTAAACTACTGTCACGATGGACGAGAAGCAGGAAGTGTCATTTGAACTGGATAAACTTTATTGATACAGGACTTTCAAAACAATCGTTACAAAACATTAACTAATTATTAGTTAGCAGTTATTCTGCAGGTGAATTATAACAGTTTAATAATCATGAAGTGGAACTACACTGTTTGTCCTGCAGCTATTGATTGCTGTCATCATTGATTGGTTTATTAAATGTCAAACGGTTTCCCAGGGCAACGTGGTGTTTTTTTTGGTCAAGTAAAGGTCGGTTCAATAAAGTTGAATGAACCAGCTGAGTCCGATTAAAGTAAATCTACTCCCACGCTCACCATCGACCCCTAAATAATATCTCTGAAGCTTTGTTTTCTTGTTATTCCTATCTGTAAACACAGGGAACGGAGCCATCTGATTGGCTGAAGTGAAAAGTTCACCTGCGGCCAAACGTCAGTGAGGTTTCTCCTGATTGATGAGCAGCGTAGAAAGCAAACTCTTTCCTCTGAACACACGTCAGACTCTGTCATGTTTGACTTTGTACCTGCTGGATGTAGTACTCTGTAACTGTGGACCAATCAGATCGCAGGAAAACACAACACCTGTTGATACTACGCTGCTGTAACTCTGTACTGATCCTCCGTTTCACATGTTCCCAAAATCAGTTCTTTTATCCAGAGCTGAATAATTATTCGAAATATAATTTAAATCTCAATATGAACGAGTGAAATATTCAAATCTCAGCAGCTGCAGTTTTTCTGACAAAGGTAAAATGTGTCACATTGTTAGCATTAGCATTGTTAGCACCATCAGCGTCCCTTCCAACTCAAATCGCAATGTTTTATTTATTTATTTATTTTGCATATCGTGCAGCCTTAATTTCGTCCATTAATCAATTAACAGAATTTTCTCGGAGTCCAAACTTAATGATCAGATTAACGATCAATCGACTGACGAGTTGTTTGAGAACGACTCTCCACTTCTCATTTAAAGAACCTGCAGCAGGAAACAATATTAATATAGCAGCTGATCTTTTCCTGAGTGGAAGTAGGTCTAACGTCTCAACCTGCGACTGAAAACTGAATAACATTAAAAAACAAGATCATAGATCTAAAAATAAGGGAAAGAAAAACTCTGCAGGAGAGATGTTTGTGTTCAGTCTTCACTCCTTCAAGTGACCAGTAATAAAAAATCTCAGAAACTCAGTTTTAAATGTTGATGACATTTTAACAATGTGATAATAATCAATGGTAAAATCAGCTCTGAGGTCAGAGGTCACCCTCCGTGTTGGCGTCACTCCTCCAGTCTGTCAGGGTTCAGGTGTCAGGGTGATGTGGTCATGTGACAGTGGGTCACTCAGGTAAATGGGACTTTGTTATTGCACACGTTTGTCCGCAGGTTCGATGCTCGTACTGTTGCGTCTGACACTGTGTGAACTCTCCACCACGTTTCTGTCAGTGTGGATTATTCTCATGTTCCTCTTCTGTTTGTATTTTTGTATGGGGGGGGGGGGTAATCATGGATGAGGGGGTCACTTCTTTCCTCCCTCAGCTACATGATGAAGTGGAGGAACAGTCTGTTTCCTGTTTGCATGATGAATGAATAAATCTTTATTACATGAAACAATGAGTAGGACAATAACTGTACATATCTCTGCTGTGGGCCTGAACCTGCAGCTCAGCCTGTTTGATTTTATAAATATTTATTGATTGTGTCACACTGTGTTTTCTGGTACAGTTTTTGACTCTGAGCATGTGTCGTCCCTGACGCTGGCGGGCGGCGAGCTGCAGCAGCTCCGCCTCTGTAACGTCGATCAGCTCCAACCATGAGAAATAAAGTTTTATATGGTGCTTCATCATGTGTGTTTTCTTCACGCGTCACAGCTCTGTGTTCTCCGCTCACTCGCTGTATTCACTTAGAAAAGTTTTTACATTTTTATATTCGGTTATTTGTGTTTTTAGTTTTCACTTAGTTTTTAAACGGTCACATTTCACCCTCTGGAAAAACCTCTAATTCAGTTTCACATCAGTTATATGAAACATTTTATTCAGATTTGTTTGTTTAATTTTCCCCTCATGTTTTTATGAATAGGTCAGTTTATCTTTGTCTCTTATCAGCATCCTGTCAGTGATCAACAGGAACACACTAATGTAAATATAAAAGCCACCGTCACATCAGACAGCAGAGCTCCAGGATCCTGTTCTACTGGACTAATGTGGGAGAAGAACATGGAGGAACAGGAAATAAATTTTGTTTTTAGGTCAGTATCTACAGACACCAGGTAAATAAATCAAAAAGAACTGTTTCATAGAAACCTTCACATTAACTTCATGTATTTATACTGAACTCAGTATTAGTCCGTAATAATTTAATTTATTCAGCTGTTACAAAGTGTGAGTTCCCAAACATAAACCTTTACGAACTCCTTTATAAACTGTTAAGTTTTAGAATTTCGTGCTGATTCTTAACTATAAACATTATAAAATTAAATAAGAACCTGTTTAGTAACTTTGGGTGTTAAGATGAAGTCAGCAGAAATGTAATCAAACCTTCGTTATAACAGTAGCTCGTGCTGTTTGTTACACAGGTACCTTAGGGAAACCACTCAACCTAACTGCGTTGAAAATGTTATGATTTTAGGATTCTTCATAATTCACTTGGGACTATAAATAGTTAGAACTATATAGATGAATGTCTGACGGTGCTCCTGGTATTCTTGTAAATTCGGCTTCGAATTATTATTATTATTATTCGTTAATTAGAGGATTTTCCAGACTTGAGAACCTGGGTGTTCACAAAACCTTGGTTCCGCTGACGTGTTTCCAGTCGGACACAATAACAGTGAGTAAACTGCAGTTAACCGGGCGGGCTAGTTGCTAGTTTTCACGATAGGTCGTTACGTTAGTTGGTTATGAGATAATTAGTATGATTTACGGAGGGAGTCACCGGATGAGATCCTCAACATGGACCCGCTTCACAAAGCGGTTCTGCGGAAGCTCAGAGTGTATCTCTCCGGCGAGCTGCTGGTCACCGACTCCATCGTTCCGTTCCTGTTCCAGGAGGAGGTCCTGACCGGGGCCCAGGTCGAGGACATCGAGTCCCAGTCCACAAACAGACTGAAGACTCTGAGGCTGCTGGACCTGCTCCCGACCCGCGGGCCCCGGGCCTTCCCCTCCTTCCTGCGGGCTCTGGAGGACTTCAGCTGGGTCAGAGACAGACTGCTGCTGGAGCTCCAGACTCCACCTGGACCTGGACCTGGACCTGGACCCAGCTCGACAGGTAAGACCAGGACGGGAAGGTACACCTGTTATTACCAATATCCCAGGAGTTAGTCCAGCTGAGGTTCTGAAACCGGTTCCAAACGTTGTAGTCCACGTTTAAAACCTGTTCACAGATTTATACTCCATGTAGACCACATCAGTCCGGATCAGGTCTGTCTCTAAAACTACCACAGTAAGACTTGTCAGACCTGGACTAGATCCACACAGAGACTCAGGAAGCAGATGAAAGACTAGTTTTAGATTTATTAAGTTTTTATTGTGACGTCTGAACACCTGCAGACAGGTGAACCTGAAAGCAAAGAGCTGAGCTCACACACTGAGGCTCATTCAACATGTAAAAACATTCAAAAATATAGAAGAAATAAACATTAACAATATAAACATCATGTGCTCGTCAGTGACGGTTTAAATCTATCAATCCAACTGATCAGCTAATCGATTAACCAGCTGATCATTACACCTGTATTAAGTATAGATTGAAGACTGGGCAGGTCTATCAGGACCAGGACCAGGGGCCTGAGAGTTCAGGCGGCTTGGGGCCTGTGTTTGTAGTGACTGTTTGACTGAGCCTTTCAAAATAAAACCAGACATGACTGTGGTCCTGATTTGGTTTAGTCACCCAAACAAATCGATTAGATTGTTGCCATGGTTACAGGATCAGTTCAGGCATTTTCTGACTGTCAGCACGTCCCATGAAAGAAAGAATCATGTGGTTTGTTGATGTTTCTTCTGAAAACTTCTCTGCTCTTTTCTGTGGAGATGAAATGATCCTGAAGTTTGTATTGAAGATGCAGCGTTCAGACTGTATCTGCTCACAGTGTTTCACAGTGTTTCAGTGTTTCACAGTGTTTCAGTGTTTCACAGTGTTTCAGTGTTTCACAGTGTTTCAGTGTTTCACAGTGTTTCAGTGTTTCACAGTGTTTCAGTGTTTCACAGTGTTTCAGTGTTTCACAGTGTTTCAGTGTTTCACAGTGTTTCAGTGTTTCACAGTGTTTCAGTGTTTCACAGTGTTTCAGTGTTTCACAGTGTTTCAGTGTTTCACAGTGTTTCAGTGTTTCACAGTGTTTCAGTGTTTCACAGTGTTTCAGTGTTTCACAGTGTTTCACAGTGTTTCAGCGTTTCACAGTGTTTCAGTGTTTCAGTGTCTCACAGTGTTTCAGTGTTTAAGTGTTTCACAGTGTTTCAGTGTTTCACAGTGTTTCAGTGTTTCACAGCGTTTCAGTGTTTCACAGCGTTTCAGTGTTTCAGAGTGTTTCAGTGTTTCACAGTGTTTGTTTCAGTGTTTCAGTGTTTCACAGTTTCACAGTGTTTCAGTGTTTCACAGTGTTTCACAGTGTTTCAGTGTTTTCGGTGTTTCAGTGTTTCACAGTGTTTCAGTGTTTCAGTGTTTCACAGTGTTTCAGTGTTTAAGTGTTTCAGTGTTTGTCTGACGTCGTCACACGGCAGCTGTGATTCTCAGAATGAGACAAGACTGTAGAAGCAGTGGAGACTGGGATAAGACGGACTCAGTGAACAGACACTGAACCGCAGGATAAAGACTGAAGTCTAAAGATTCTTAGAACTGATCTGAGGTCTGAGCGTCTTCCTGGAAATGACATGAATCATCAGCAGCACAAATGAAAACGTCGACTTAAAGCAGCTGTAAAGTTTCATTTTCCAACAGAAAGAAAAATAAAAAAACTCAGATACTGAGATCTGAAGTTTCACATAAAGTCATAAAGTGTTGAAAATAATAATTCTGAGATTTGTGTCAAAATGTTGAAATGACACATTGAAATACTGAGATTAAAGTCCTGAAGTAAAATAGTGTAATTTTAGAAAGAACGTCACATTTCTGACAAATAAAACAACATTAGTCAATATTGTAATAATTCAATTCTGAGATAGTTTGTGAAATAAAAAAATAAATTTGTGTGAATTGAAAGATTTAAATCTGAAATTTGATTAAATTAGAAATGGTCATAATTGATTTAATTATTATTGAAATCAAAGTCTAAATTTAGAGATTAAAGTTTAATTTGAGACAAAAGATTAAATGATGAAATAAGTAAAATAAAGTCAGAATTCGATTGGGGGGGGGCTTTTTATGCCTTTATTGATAGTGCAGTAGAGAGAGACAGGAAATGGGGAGGCAGAGAGGGGGAATGACATGCAGCAAAGGCCGTCTGATGTGGGACTCAAACCGGGGCCGACTGCAGCGAGGACTGTGGCCTCTACACATGGGGCGCCTGCTTAGACCACTACGCCACACGACGCCCTGAAACTGATCACTTCTGATCAGAGCAGCTTCCAAACTTTCCCAGGACAATTCCAGGAACGTCGTCTTCAGACTTCAGACCAACCGTCACTGCCGGAGAACAAAGGACGAGGAGATTCCTGGAAATGAGTCGGTTTGTTCAGAGAGAAGAAGAACTGAGTTCAGAGGAGGAGGAGGAGGAGGAGGTTGTTTCAGTGTGAAGTTTAACCTGATGAACTGAATGAAAACTGAGAGTGAAGTCAGACCGTGTCGTTCCTGGAAGCAGCTGCTTTATCCACATCTTGCATAACAACCAGCAACATGTGTGTGAGTGTGATGACATCACCGCAGCTACAGGAGGCGGAGTCTCCACACGGTGTCCAGGTGTTTTTAGACACCGAGCTGCAGGTACAACAAACCTCCAGACTCGGCTCCATGTGCAGTTATGATCTATTTCTAAGAGGGGGAGGGGGAGGGGGAGGGGAGCGCTTGTTTTCCAGCCTCCTCCTCCTCCTCCTCCCCCACCTCCTCCCCCACCTCCCCCTCCTCCTCGGTCGTTTATTGCCTCCTGCTTTCCAGGAACCCTGGCAGCAGCAGCAACGTCTGTGTTCAAGCTGCAGAGCTGGATGTTTGCGATCACGTTCATCACATGATCCGGATCCTGCTGATCCCCCAAAACAACACAGGGTTAGGGTTAGCCTCCAGAGTCCTCAGAGGAGACCAGGTCCAGTGACACTGGACTCAGGCCACAGATGTGACTGTGAGAGGATCCGGCTTCAGGTCCAGATCTCCAGACTGAGAACTGACCAGTCCTGATAATAAGATCATTAGATTTTTACTAACGATGGATGGTGCGTTATTAATTATAAAAATCTGTGTTTGTGTGAAACTCCACGTCACTGCGAAGGAGAGAAACTTCAGTGATCCTCCAGGATTAAATAAAGAAATGAAATGAAAAAACATGAGAAAGTTGATTTCAAATAAGAAAAGAAAAAGAAACTTTTCCAGACAACCCGAACCCTTTTTTACATTTAATAAAAATCATAAAAATAATGTTTCATATCATTCCTAAAATTCATAACATGCAATCATTCATTACTGACAAAATATCACAACTGTGATTTCAATCCAAATTCTGACACAAAAGTTGTGAATCTGAATCTGATTAATTTCTCTTGATTTTCAAGAAAATCATAATTTCATTTATTTAGCTGTTAAAAAGTCTGAGTCACGAACCCTTCACACCAAACCTCACTGATAAATCATTCAATTTTAGGATTTCTTGCTGATCTGTAAACACGTATGAGAAAATTAAATATGATGGTCTTCAGTGACTTTGAGATGAATTCAGAAGATATTTAATCGATCAGAAACCTGAGCTGCGTCGAGCTGGTGCTGCTGCTTCCTCACAGACGGGTAGTTTACTGTGAGCTTTAGTTAGTCCTGTTTCTTCATGGTCTGTTACATGTATTTTAATTTTGAGTTACTGCTCATCGTAAATCCTTTACGTCCCAGCGTCAGGACCGTTCAGCTTCAGAGTGAAATCACCTGTCAAAGTGAAATAAGAAGAATCTCCACATTGAGCTGCTGTTCGTCAGGTCACCGACTTTCACCAAGTCTCCCTGAGAATGTGCACGTCCACGTGCTCAGGACAAACAGCGAGCGAGGTTACCCGCGGCGACAGAGCACTTCCGGTGTCACAGTGACCTAAAGGGAAACAGGATGAGAGCACGTCCACTGAACAGGAGCTCATAGTATTTTTTCTTCTGTTGTTTTTGTTGATGCTGTCAACCAATCAGAGGAGACCAAACAGTGCAACCCTCCTCTGACTGAGTACTGAGAACCAGAGTCACCGCAGAGACGACGTCAATGTCAATAAAGATTATTATTCAAACATGCTGAACACGCCGAGGAGGTGTGAGTCAGCCGTGATCACAGCACGAGCTCCAGCTTCAGTCACATCTACCAGCTGAGAGGAGAAGCAGATCCAGACACAAAGTCTGAATTCTGAGATGAACCAGCTTCAAACCTTCAGTTTAGTCTGAAGTCTGACATTTAAAGTTTGACGCAAATAAATAAAGATTAAGTTTTAAAATTAAAATGAGAAATTTTAGGGAAAAAGTCATAAATCTGAGATTAAAGTAGGATTTTAATTTTTTTTAATTTTTTGAGTTTTGATATTAAAACTGATTTTGAGAATATTTCAAATGTGATGAAAGTGAAAAATCTTGGAGATCAAATCAAACAGTGAAATGTTGAGATTATAATAAAGATCTGGATTTTCAGATTAAAATCATAATGTAATATAAAGAAAATAAAAATCTCAACATCAGATCAAAGTTTGAGGTGAAATCGATCATTTTCAGATTCAAGTGAAAACACTGATCATGAATCTGACTAATCTCAGACCTTCACCTCCTCTTCCTCCCTCTAACGCCCCTCCTCCTCCTCAGACTCCTGGCAGCTTCCCGCCTCCGTCCTGCAGAGGGTCCTCTCGGATCGGGAGCTGTCCCGGCTGGCGTCTCGGCTCGGGGCAGAGTGGGAGTCGGTGCTGATGGATCTGGGTCTGTCTGCCGAGGCTCTGTTCCGGTGTCGGGCCGACCACGCCCTCAGCGCTCACGGCACGGCACTGGCCGGTCTGGTTCAGTGGAGGCGGTCTGAGGGGAGGAGGGCCACGGTCCAGAGACTGATCCAGAGTCTGCAGGCCACCGACATCCACCCGTCTGTCCTGCAGGACGTCCTGCTGTGATGTCATCCTTCCTGTTTCTACTCTTCTCATCATTCCACAGAAACGTACGAGACTTAAAGAGACCAGAACATCTGGAAACAGTACCTCAACCAGAGCTGGCAGATGTTCTCACATTAACAGCCAGAGGTCATGTTTGAGAATGAATTCTGATGTAAGAGACAGTGACAAGTGTAAAATAAAAGTTCAGGAATCAGATTAAGAATCAACATTTTGTATGTAACAGTCTGAATTTTCCAGATTAAGATTAAAATCTAAAGAAATCTGAATTTAAAGATGATTATTAGGAATCTAAGATTAAAAATCTGAACTTTCAGAATAAAGTCACAAATCTGAGGTTAAACGTGAATTTTGAGAATAAGTGCAGAAATCTGAGATTAAAGATTTGAGATAAAAGTAAAGAAGAGACAAACATTCAGATTCAAAGTCTGAATCAGAATGAATTCACTTCTGAGTTTTACATGAAGAAAATCACAGACTGTTCCCTTAAAACAGCAACAGAGTAAATACAAACATGTTTATAGAAACAATAAGATTTAGGTACTTTATTTCCTCTTCTCCAGTGTGTGTGTGTGTGTGTGTGTGTGTGTGTGTGTGTGTGTGTGTGTGTGTGTGATCTGATTTTCAACCTTTTCTTGGAATTTAACTGAAACTTTGTTCGAACAGACGATTAGAGAGAGAGAGAGAGAGAGAGAGAGAGAGACTCCTTCAGAGGCCAACCAGTAACACACACAGTCAGCCTCTCTCTCTCTCTCTCTCTCTCTCCTCTCCCTCTCCCTCTCTCCTCTCTCTCTTCTCCCTCTCTCTCTCTCTCTCTCTCCTCTCCCTCTCTCTCTCTCTCTCTCTCTCTCTCTCTCTCCCTCTCTCTCTCTCTCCCTCTCTCTCTCTCTCTGCTCTTCATTAATTCCTCAACAGCCTGCAGACTTCCTGCTGAGGATCAGCTTTCTGCTGCTTCTGACTCTTAAGGTGGACTGAGGAGATCCAGGATCATGTCTGTGACTTTCACCTCACTGACCTGACTGTTCTCTGTTCGACTGTTTGTTCAACTGACCTGCGGTTAATAAATCTCTCTCTCCCTCTCTCTCTCTCTCTGCTCTTCATTAATTCCTCAACAGCCTGCAGACTTCCTGCTGAGGATCAGCTTTCTGCTGCTTCTGACTCTTAAGGTGGACTGAGGAGATCCAGGATCATGTCTGTGACTTTCACCTCACTGACCTGACTGTTCTCTGTTCGACTGTTTGTTCAACTGACCTGCGGTTAATAAAGTTTCATTCACAACGTGAAACAGTTTCACTTTTTCACCTTTAATGGGTTTTTTGAGTTCTGACATCTGACTGAACGAGACCAGGTGCAGACCTAGACCAGGTCCAGACTTAGACCAGGTCTGGTAACCAGCCGTCTGAAGAGTAAATGTAGCTTCACGGTGCTAAGTTAGCGACACTGCCTGTAAACACCCCCTGATGACATAATCATTTTGATTGGTCAACGACTGACGATGTAACTTCATCACTAAGTCAGTCAGTCACGTTCTCAGTCTTGTCTCACTGTTTGTGGTGCTGTTGGAATGAACTGAACCTGATACCGGGGTAAGTATGTTCAGACTTTTATTCTGAAATTAATCTGAAAGTAGACAGAAGTCAGGAATCTGAAGTTTGAAGAGAGTCTGAGGTTTGAGTCTAAAATCAGGAATTAAAACTGTAGATTTAAATAGAAACCAGGAGTCTGAGATTAAAATGCTGAAATGATTTAAAAACTGATCAGAAAGTTGTTCAGTTGTGTATCAGTAGATAATCAGTAGATAATCAGTTTCTGTGGAGGTGATTTCCTGAAGTAAAGTGAATAAATCAGAGATTAGAACCAGTCATTAAATCAGAAACAGGGAACACGTGCAGAGTGTTTGTCAGTGAACGCAGCAGAAACACAGAGTGGATGTTTGGATGTGTGACAGCAGCAGCAGCCTCCTCCTCCTCCTCCTCCTGTCAGTCCTGTGAGTTTCTCAGAAAGCTGTGAACACTGAGCTTTATATCCTCGCTGCTTCCAAGAAACTGGAAATATTTAGAGGCTGCTGCTGCTGACGGAGCCTTTTTCTAGTTTTACTGGCTGAAAGTGGGACAGCGACAGACTGAGCAGAGTGTTAACCCCCGACGCTCCGGCTCTCTGCAACCACAGGAGCTTTAACGTCTGATGTTCCTTCATGTTTTTTCTCTGAACGCTGCACCTCCTTTCTGTGTCAGATTCACAAACACTGAGAGGTTCAGGGAATGTAGGAAACATACACACTCTCTCCTCTCCATGTCCCTTTATATGAACCGTCCTCAGCCTGAATTTCTTCCTAAACTAAATGTAAATGTTGGTCCTATCCCGGGCCGGACTCTCTCCCCTGGTGACCCCCGCTGTACCTGACCAACCGACCATCCAAACGACCGACCAACCGACCATCCAAACGACCAACCAACCGACCATCCAAACGACCAACCAACCGACCAACCATCCGACCAACCGACCATCCAAACGACCAACCAACCAACCGACCATCCAAACGACCAACCAACCGACCAACCATCCGACCAACCGACCATCCAAACGACCAACCAACCAACCGACCGACCATCCGACCATCCAAACGACCAACCAACCGACTGACCGACCAACCGACCATCCAAACGACCAACCAACCAACCGACCGACCATCCGACCATCCAACCGACCAACCAACCGACTGACCGACCAACCGACCATCCAAACGACCGACCAACCGACCATCCAAACGACCGACCAACCGACCATCCAAACGACCGACCAACCGACCATCCAAACGACCGACCAACCGACCATCCAAACGACCGACCAACCGACCATCCAAACGACCGACCAACCGACCATCCAAACGACCGACCAACCGACCATCCAAACGACCGACCAACCGACCATCCAAACGACCGACCAACCGACCATCCAAACGACCGACCAACCGACCATCCAAACGACCGACCAACCATCCGACCAACCGACCAACCATCCAACCAACTGACCGACCAACCATCCAACCAACCGACCGACCAACCAACTGACCAACCAACCAGCACTCTGGAGCCGACAGGACGAGTTGCTTAGAAGTGAATTGGTAATCATTTTGATTAGTGAACACTTCCTGGTTTCTCATTTCTCTTTGACTGTGTTTGAGTTTTTGTGGATTTGGACTCTGAGTCTGTCTCTGAACTCACCACCATCTTTGTGTCTGAGGAAGAATGGCGGGAACAATCGATTGGTTATTAAAGAGAATACCTGTCGGATGTATTGATCTCCTCTGATGGATTAATGAAACCTCACTGAGGGTTTCTGTCTGTCCATCATTAACACTTCCGGTCTTCAAACTGGATCTGGACTCTGAGTCCCTCTAAAGACCAGATCCAGATCATGGAGGATGAGGACCTGATACTGATACCTGATCAGTGATCAATGACAGAAACACAGTGGAAACTTCTGTGACGTCTGCACACGTGTCACATGATCAACTTACAGCAGCTTCTCTCTCTTTAGTTACTGTGACTGAAACATCTCAGTCTGTGTGTGTGTTACAGTGTGTGTGTCTGTGTGTGTATGTGTGTGTGTTACAGTGTGTGTGTATGTGTGTGTGTTACAGTGTGTGTGTCTGTGTGTGTCTGTGTGTGTGTTACAGTGTGTGTGTCTGTGTGTTTCTGTGTGTGTGTGTTTCACTGTGTTTTGGTTGATGAGGTCACATGACTGGAGTAAACACGTTCATGTTTACCAGATGGACACGTGTGAGGTCATGTGGGCTGGACGATGATGTCAGAGCATCAGGAGGAATCTCCTTATATGGAGTCTGACTGACTGAAGTATTTATCTGTCTGTCTGTCTGTCTGTCTGTCTGTCTGTCTGTCTGTCTGTCTGTCTGTCTGTCTGTCAGTGGTTGTGAGCTCTTGCACTCTGTGACCTGCTGCTGCTCTGAAACTGATTTCTTAGAAGATGTTTAACATGAACACACACACACTCACTCAGAGTTATGAGTTAGCTGGGAGCTGTTTGTATGAATGTGATTTCTAACACCTGCTCTAAAACACCAGAACAGATGTTTGTTAATGACAAATATTATATCAGAAATTCTTTTGTTAATCCATACTTCCCTACCAACAATGCATCAGTGTTGTTGTCAGACAGCCACCACAGTAACATCAGGAGTCTTGTCTCCACCTACAGGAGGCGTCCTGCTGTTTCTCTGATCCAGCTGCAGTGAACAGCTGTGACCAGCAGGGGGCGTCACACACTCATGAACACATGAGCGCAGCTGTGATAGGACACAAAGCAAAGACAATACACCAACAATATCAGATGACTGACGTCACCATGACGACAATAATCAATAAAAACCACAATCTGAACTCGTGTCCAAGAAGACCCAGTAACAGGAGACCGAGGCAGGATGTGAACAAAGGAAAGAAGTTCAATAATCACTGATGTATTCACTCCTGTTGTTAAATTATAAAGATAAATAATAACAATAATCTATATCCTGTCAATACCTCAGTCCAAACCACAGGAAGTAAAGAGTCAGAAGACAAACAGACACGTCCACAGTTAATAAACACTTCCATTATTCATTAATATTCATCAGTGTAGTAGGAGTAGAAACACCTGAGAACCAGCTGACATCAGGTGAACTGATCACATGATCAGGTGTCCTCCAGATCAGACCAACATGTGACTGTTGTGTCATGTGATAATTTCATGTGTTTTGCACTCTGATTATTTGGATTATGAAAATGATTTATATTGAATATTAAACTGTGGATCTTAAAACTCTGATATTGTTTACATGGTGTTTCATAAATATAAATTAAATATAAAACATACAGACGAGACGTTTCATAGAACTGAAATTAAAATAAATTAAAATATAATTCCACTCTATACTAATATATAATTATTATCTACTTTCAGTGATTTGTAGTAAAAAAGTAATTGATGCAAAGTTTAAATGAAAGATAAAGATAAATCGTGTATTTTGCAAATATACACACACACACTGTAACACACACACACACACAGACACACACACTGTAACACACACACAGACTGAGATGTTTCAGTCACAGTAACTAAAGAGAGAGAAGCTGCTGTAAGTTGATCATGTGACACGTGTGCAGACGTCACATGATGTCTCTCAGTGAAATGTAAAACTCCGCGTTTCTGTTGCTGTGCTGCACATTAGAGATTTTATGCTTTTATTGTGAAACAAGTTCCAACTTTTGTTTTGAAAGGCTCCACATAAACATCCACACCTGTAGTTAAAGGTGAGAACAGAAGTTTCCACTGTGTTTCTGTCATTGATCACTGATCAGGTATCAGTATCAGGTCCTCATCCTCCATGATCTGGATCTGGTCTTTAGAGGGACTCAGAGTCCAGATCCAGTTTGAAGACCGGAAGTGTTAATGATGGACAGACAGAAACCCTCAGTGAGGTTTCATTAATCCATCAGAGGAGATCAATACATCCGACAGGTATTCTCTTTAATAACCAATCGATTGTTCCCGCCATTCTTCCTCAGACACAAAGATGGTGGTGAGTTCACTGTCACAGAAAACTGAGGAATCGGAAAATACTCTCATGTGAGCAGCTGCTATCAGTGAGTTCATGACGTCAGAATTGTTGCCATTGATTATTGATTCATTGATCAGTTGATCCTGTTGGGTTCTGGTTCTGTCGTTGGTTCACAGAGCACATGCTGTAATGGTGATGAAGATGAAGATGAAGAGGAGCAGGAGGAGCAGGAGCAGTGGGGGGGGAGGGGGAGGACCCGTGTGTGTCTCCATGCAGCCTCCGGAGCGCAGGGCGGGGCGACGCCGCGCAGCAGCAGCAGCAGCAGCAGCAGCAGCAGCAGCAGCTTCATCACCGCTGAGCGACACCGATCTCCTGCTCGTCTCCAGGCCGCGGCATGGACCCCGGAGCCCGGCCTGCTTCCTCTGAATCACAGCGGGTGCGGTTCGAGCTGCGGTCCGTTCGGCTGATGGTGACGACGATGATGATGGTAACAGTGCTGATGAAGATGATGATGGCGGTGTGCAGTTAGAGCTGCGGAGCGGAAACTGAGCGCAGACTGAGCGGGAGCATCGCGCTCCGATGCAGCAGAAAAATCGCCATTGTTTGGATGCGCTGCAGCCCGAGAGGAAGAACCCGGAGCTCCGTGAAACCGTGTGACCGACAGACACCATGCTTTCCCCGCTGCTCCCCGCGCTCTGCCTGCTCTGCTTTGTCCAGGTAAGGAGCTCTGTTTTCGGGTTAATACTGAGCGTCGGAGCCGCGGCTGCCGCCTGTCTGATGTCATGTGAGGCAGCGGCGGTCTGTGGCTTTGTTTGGACAGAACAGATCCGATCAGATCGATTCGAGTTCAATACTGAGGTTCTGTCAGAGGCGGCGGGTGGATGTGAGAGCGGGAGTCGGTGAAGTGGAGACACGGACGCGCTGTGGCACCGCAGGTCGGTTAGAGAGGCAGCCAGCAGCTCGTTGTGTCCCGCAGAAAGTGGGTCAGTCGGCTGCAGCCTCAGTGAGTCCCTGCATGTCTGTCAGCATCGCTGAGCATCACACACACACACACACACACACACACTGAGGCCTGCCAACACAAACACCAGAAACACCCTGTGAGGAGGAGGAGGAGGAGCTCAGCTGCTCTTCCTCTCTGAACAGCTGCTTTTAGCTTCACCTGCACAGGTGTGACGTCCTGCTCTCCGTCACTGCGGCTCAGAGGTTCTGCTGCTGGGTTTCTGATCACACTGGTTCAGTGTAGTTTGTTTACTGAGACAATAATAGCCTCAGTTCGCTGCTGTGTTTTGACCTGAGGACGTGTTGTAGAGGAAAATCTACTTGTAATGTTTCAGCTGATATTATTGATCAGTTGATCAGTGAAGATCATTAATATTTCCTAGCTGGAAAGTAATCTGATTTTAAATAAACCTGTACATTTAATTTCCACTGATCTGATTTCAAACTGATCAGGTGCTGTGTTGTGTTCAGGGGTATTGTGTTCAGGGGTGTTGTGTTCAGGGGTGTTGTGTTCAGGGGTGTTGTGTTCAGGTGTGTTGTGTTCAGGTGTGTTGTGTTCAGGGGTGTTGTGTTCAGGGGTGTTGTGTTCAGGGGTGTTGTGTTCAGGGGTGTTGAGTTCAGGTGTGTTGTGTTCAGGGGTGTTGTGTTCAGGGGTGTTGTGTTCAGGGGTGTTGTGTTCAGGTGTGTTGTGTTCAGGGGTGTTGTGTTCAGGGGTGTTGTGTTCAGGTGCAGGAGAGCTGGTGGTGTAGTTTATGAAATGTAATGAAATAATAAAATGATGCTCATGCACTCAGAGCAGAGGTTCTCAACATGAGCATCAGGACCCATCGGGGGTCCAGTGTAGATTTGAGGGGTTCTGGGACAAAAAAGAAAGAACCTGAACACACTGAACCTGAAGAGCTGCTTCCGATTAACAATGAATCCATCGATCAGTGTTCAGGTTATTACCTCTCCTGTGATGAGTCCTGCTGCATGGAGGTTCTGCTGTTCACTCTGCCCTCATTGATTTAAATGGTTAGGCGTAATATTAGGAACAGCTCTCAGTCTGTTGTAACGTTGAACAACAGCAGCACAACCTCCGTCCTCCAGCTGAATCATCAGCTCAACACAAACTGAAGCTTCACGACGGAGGAGTTACTGCAGGCTCCTGCAGGGACACGGAAATAACTCGCACACCATTTAAAGGAGAGAGTCACACACCTGGACAATGTCCTTCAGATCTGTTAGTGTCCAACAAAGACTCATTCACTGTGACAGGAAACAGACTCAGTGACTTTATACTTTGAATTCATTAGTGGATGAATAACTTTTCAAACTGAGTCAAATAAAACAAAACGTCTCTTATTGTTGGACTCCGACATGATGTTGCAGTTACAGTAGAATTCACTTGATTCAAACCACTGACCGAGTCCACAGCGACATCAAGGCAGGGTCCCCCTGGGGGCCAGGTGTCCAGGGGGGGCCCTACAGGCCCCAGGTGCACCATGTGTCAGTGCACACCTGGAGGTCCAGTAACAGGTGAGCCTGAGCCAACTCAAAGAGATCCAGGTCAGTGTGATGTGAACACGGCTGTAGAAAACCGGACTGAGCTTCAGGTTTCAGACCAGCTTCTAAAACATCATAATGTCATTTTTCTTGATTTTCTTTCTTCATCCTTTGTTTTTTTCCGTTGAAGCCTCTCTCACAGTCTCAGTCCATGTTCGGTTTTATCTGATGCGCGAGTTTCCAATTTCCTCTGTGATATCAGCAGCGCTGGTGGATTCATATTAAACTGAGTGTCCCTGTGAAAACAGACCGAGGGGAAACAGAAATGTTGAATGTAGAATAATTGTTGTTTTTTTAAAATGATCACGCCAGGATTTGTTTTGTATTATTCCACCAAAACCCATAATCCAAGAAGAACAGGCTGTCGTCCCGTATGAGTGACTGGTGATTAAATACAGTCGTCAGGTCGTTAGTTTCAGATTTCTGTTCATTTCATCTTTGATGAAGGATCCAGTGTCTCTGTCCAACGACAATAAATAACTCTGTGAAACCTGTGAGAGCGCCGCTGAATAATATCAGAACATATTAGATTGAATTTATAACTACACGTGTGTTTACTTTACGTTAATAAGAATGTTTATGAAATTATAAAAGTTAAGGAGGAAAAATCTCTTCTGAGTATTTTACTGTGACGTCTGTCACTCACATTCAGTGAGAACAGCTTCGTGAACTCTAACGACTCGTGTTCTTTCTTCTCATCATTAGAGTCATTAGTGTGATTCAGTCTTAATGACGAACATATTCATTCATGTTAAAGCTGGAGAATCACTAATCATCTGCATTGATCCTGTTGAAGCTCTGTCTCCCCTTTAGCTGCTGAGCTAACATTACATTAGCTTACTTTAGCCAATGTTACATTAACTAACACTGCATTAGCTCACATAAGCTAACGTTACATTAGCTAACACTGCATTAGCTCACATAAGCTAACGTTACATTAGCTAACACTGCATTAGCTCACATAAGCTAACGTTACATTAGCTAACACTGCATTAGCTCACATAAGCTAACGTTACATTAGGTTACTTCATCTATCGTTACATCAGCTTTCTCTAGCTAACATCACATTAGCTTACTTTAGCCAGTGTTACATTGACTAACATTGAATTAGCTCACATAAGCTAACATCACATTAGCTTTCTTTAGCTAACGTAGTGGTTTCACAGATTGACTAAACGAGCTGCTGCTCAGCCCTGAATGTCCAAACATCCTGATTAAAGTGATTAAAAGTAAAGTTTATTTTCTATCCTTTAGCATTAGCTGTTAGGAATCCTTAAGAACCTTTTAAATATTTAAAAAGAAGGTGAACTGTTGATGTTTAACAAACCATTTTTGTCCCAGACACCACTCAGCAGCACACGTTCATACTGGGAGTCGGGTTTGGGTTTTAAATGTAACAGTACCAGTCAGGTTCTGTTGGAGTTCCTGTGATGACCAGTTTCCCTCTTGTAAATATCGATCACACAAACGTCCAAGTTACGACAAACTGTTGTTACGGTGATGAAACAGAAATCTGTGCTGCAGCTCATTGAGACAGGAGGGGTGTTTGATTGGAGACGTGGACATGAAACAGGCAACAGTTGTGAAGCTTCAGATGTTGTAGACAAACCCAATGAAACGAGTGTCTCCTCAGCTGTGATCTGTGCTGCTGCTGCTGCTGGTTTTCATGGCGATTAGTGTGATAATCATCTTATTACCACCATGTGAGCTCATTAATGCTCTCAGCCTGCTGGAGGAAGAGACTCATCTCCATATGGAAAACAAAAAGAGTCATTAAGCACCACCCGGGGATTGAACCTCCAACACCAAATATCTGATAATGACATAATTAACATTATCATCCAAACACTGAGTACCAGGTTAAACACAGACACGAGAACTGTGACCTTCAGGATGTGGGTGATGGTTCAGTGATGATGCAGGTGCTATCAGGTAAAATAGGTCTGTTCATCATGTTCATCATCAAACATGACAATAATTATTGTTCAGTCTGAAATTATTTCCAAAATTCTCAGTAGGTAAATATTCTGAGGCTGTTCCAGAGGTGTGTGTTTTTTATTATGAATTAAATTCCTTACCTCAAATAAATATTTGTACACAACTCGTGACCAAATGCGCCGATACGGCACGACGCAAAACGATACGATGCGACGTGACACGATACGACACGTCACGACGCAACACGACACGATACGACACGTCACGATACGATGCGACGCGACACGATACGACGTGGTGTGATGCGACGTGACGCGACACGATACGACGTGGTGTGATGCGACGTGACGCGACACGATAAGTAAAACAATCATACTGCAGTCAATTTGACAGATATTGTGATACGAGTCACAGTTTAAGTGGCAATGTTAATTTTTCATTTTCATTTAAATAAATGTAAAAATGATGATGTGAGTTTTTCTGGCTTTTTACCAACAAGGATGTTTCCTACTTAAATAGTTTATTTAAGAAATAGTTATGTTTCATTTCATGCTGCTTTATACTTCCAAGCTAACATAAAACTAAAATAACTTTAGTTACTTTACAGATTCAGATTCATCATATAAATATGATCAACAAATAAATTATGATCATTAAGACTTTATTGATCCCTGGATGAAGTCCACAAACTACCCAGCTGTACATGCAGTCCTTCTTATATTTCAATAATTTGATTTATATTATTCTGAAATTAGTCATTAAAGAGACTTCTCATTATTTGAACTTTAAGTATATTTAGTATATTTAGAGGCTTTTAAGTTCTTGTAGCAGGAACATCTTTCACAGAAATCTGAAATGTGGAAATTGATTTAAACCTTTTCCAAACGTGTGTCTGAAATTCTCAGTAGCTCAGCAGTCGGCTTGTTTTAGAGCGTGTTGTGTGAAGTCCGGGTCTGAATTTGCATATGACAGACTGAGTGTAAAGCCTGTTATCTCACAGCTTCAGGTTCTGGCAGCTCCTCTGATGTAAACTGTGTTTCAGGAATCACAAATCTTTGATCTCTGGTTTCAGAAACAAGAGAAGCTCAGAGTGGAGGAACCTGGTCTGCTTTCACACGCTGGATTTGGTTCTTTTTTTTCCTCCAGAGGAAAGACTGTCAGTCTGTGGTGAATTTTTCCTTAATGACCTGTTTGGGCTCATTATCCTGCCTGGCAAACACAGAAAGGACCTG